TGTGATAGGAGAAAACTGAGGATGGATCAACAACATTGTAGTTACTCCACAATACTAGCCTAAATGACAGAGTGAAAAGAAGGAAGCCTGTACATGCATCCTGTTTGCAATAAGGCACTAAAGTAAAAAACACAAAAAATGTGGCAATGAAATTAACTTTATGTTCGGGGCAAATCCAACACAACACATCACTGAGTGCCACTCTTCATATTTTCAAGCATGGTGGTGGCTGCATCATGTTATGGGTATGCTTATCATCGGCAAGGGAGTTTTTTTAGGATAAAAATAAACAGAATAGACCTAAGCACAGGCAAAATCTGAGAAGAATACCTGGTTCAGTCTGCTTTCCAATAGACACTGGGAGAAAAATTTACCTTTCAGCAGGACAATAACATAAAACACAGATGCCAAATATACACTGGAGTTGCTTGCCAAGACGACATTGAATGTTCCTGAGTGGCCTAGTTACAGTTTTGACTTAAATCGGCTTGAAAATCTATGGAAAAACTTGAAAATGGCTGTATAGCAATGATCAGCAACCAACTTGACAGAGCATGAAGAATGTTTTCAAGAATAATGTGAAAATATTGTACAATCCAGGTGTGCAAAGCTCTTAGAGACTTACCCAGAAAGACTCACAGCTGTAATCGCTGCCAAAGGTGATTCTAACATGTATTGACTCAGGGGTGTGAATACCTATGTAAATTAGATATTTCTGTATTTCATTTTTAATACGTTTGCAAAAATGTATCTAAACATGTTTTCACTTTGTCATTATGGTGTATTGTGTGGAGATTGGTGAGAGAAAAAACATATTTGAATTCAGGCTGTAACACTACAGTGGGGAAAAAAGTATTTAGTCAGCCACCAATTGTGCAAGTTCTCCCACTTAAAAAGATGAGAGAGGCCTGTAATTTTCATCATAGGTACACGTCAACTATGACAGACAAATTGAGAAAAGAAAATCCAGAAAATCACATTGTAGGATTTTTAATGAATTTATTTGCAAATTATGGTGGAAAATAAGTATTTGGTCACCTACAAACAAGCAAGATTTCTGGCTCTCACAGACCTGTAACTTCTTCTTTAAGAGGCTCCTCTGTCCTCCACTCGTTACCTGTATTAATGGCACCTGTTTGAACTTGTTATCAGTATAAAAGACACCTGTCCACAACCTCAAACAGTCACACTCCAAACTCCACTATGGCCAAGACCAAAGAGCTGTCAAAGGACACCAGAAACATAATTGTAGACCTGCACCAGGCTGGGAAGACTGAATCTGCAATAGGTAAGCAGCTTGGTTTGAAGAAATCAACTGTGGGAGCAATTATTAGGAAATGGAAGACATACAAGACCACTGATAATCTCCCTCGATCTGGGGCTCCACGCAAGATCTCACCCCGTGGGGTCAAAATGATCACAAGAACGGTGAGCAAAAATCCCAGAACCACACGGGGGGACCTAGTGAATGACCTGCAGAGAGCTGGGACCAAAGTAACAAAGCCTACCATCAGTAACACACTACGCCGCCAGGGACTCAAATCCTGCAGTGCCAGACGTGTCCCCCTGCTTAAGCCAGTACATGTCCAGGCCCGTCTGAAGTTTGCTAGAGTGCATTTGGATGATCCAGAAGAGGATTGGGAGAATGTCATATGGTCAGATGAAACCAAAATAGAACTTTTTGGTAAAAACTCAACTCGTCGTGTTTGGACGACAAAGAATGCTGAGTTGCATCCAAAGAACACCATACCTACTGTGAAGCATGGGGGTGGAAACATCATGCTTTGGGGCTGTTTTTCTGCAAAGGGACCAGGACGACTGATCCGTGTAAAGGAAAGAATGAATGGGGCCATGTATCGTGAGATTTTGAGTGAAAACCTCCTTCCATCAGCAAGGGCATTGAAGATGAAATGTGGCTGGGTCTTTCAGCATGACAATGATCCCAAACACACCGCCCGGGCAACGAAGGAGTGGCTTCGTAAGAAGCATTTCAAGGTCCTGGAGTGGCCTAGCCAGTCTCCAGATCTCAACCCCATAGAAAATCTTTGGAGGGAGTTGAAAGTCCGTGTTGCCCAGCGACAGCCCCAAAACATCACTGCTCTAGAGGAGATCTGCATGGAGGAATGGGCCAAAATACCAGCAACAGTGTGTGAAAACCTTGTGAAGACTTACAGAAAACGTTTGACCTGTGTCATTGCCAACAAAGGGTATATAACAAAGTATTGAGAAACTTTTGTTATTGACCAAATACTTATTTTCCACCATAATTTGCAAATAAATTCATTAAAAATCCTACAATGTGATTTTCTGGAAAAAAAATTCTCATTTTGTCTGTCATAGTTGACGTGTACATATGATGAAAATTACAGGCCTCTCTCATCTTTTTAAGTGGGAGAACTTGCACAATTGGTGGCTGACTAAATACTTTTTTCCCCCACTGTATATGTTCTGGGAACCTTTAAAGAACTCAGAAAGGTTGTTCTATCAAAACTCTTGCAACATCAAAGGAATGTTTTTTGCACCCTGATACAAATATTATCTGAATGTCAGCACAATTGACAGTTTTAGTTTTATTGTTTTGGGAACATATCTCCTGTCATATTCCCACAATGCTCCCACAACCTAAATACATGTTTTAGGGACTTTTAAAGAACATTATGGGAACATTTTTGTAACATCAAGTGAATGTTTTTTTGCGCCCTAAAATAAACATTGTATATAACTGGACAGTTTTTGTGTTTTGGGAACATATATTTTGTAATGCCCCACAATGTTCCCATCAGACTATTCCCACAACCTAATGAAACATTCTGGGAACCTTAAAAGAACAGACAAAATGTGTTCTGGGAACGTTCTTGCAACATCAGGTGAATGTTTTATACAAACGTATAATCATCAGCACGACTGGACAGTTTTTGTGTTATGAGAACATTTGCTGCAACTTCATTCATCTTCTGGGAACTTCCACAGAACCAATTTTGGTTTGTTGTGAAAACATTACTGGTACATTGTGTTATTACATTACCTGGAAACCTAATGAGAACTTTTGGGGAATGATCTGTGGTGGTTGTTACAGATGTTGTGCACAACATTTTAGTGAATGTTAGGAGAACATTACAAGGATATTTCATTTAAAACATAAAAAGATAAAATAAAAATGTTTCTTATCAAAAACATTATTTTGTTGTTTTTGGGATGTTATCATCCTAATGTTAGATAAAACCCTATCTAGAACTTCATGGGAATCTTAGCTAATGGTCTGGGAATGTTCCCGTTTTAGTGGGTTATCATACATATACAGTGAGTGTACAAAACATTAAGGACACCATCCTAATATTGAGTTGCACCCCCACTTTTTTTATCAGAACAGCCTCAATTCTTTGAGGCATGTACTCTACAATGTGTCGAAAGCGTTCCACAGGGATGCTGGCCTATGTTGACTCCAATGCTTCCCACAGTTGTGTCAAGTTGGCTGGATGTCCTTTGGGTGGTGGACCATTCTTGATACTCATGGGAAACTGTTGAGCGTGAAAAATGCAGCAGCGTTGCAGTTCTTGACACAAACCGGTGTGCCTGGCACCTACTACCATACCCCGTTCAAAGGCACTTAAATATTTTGTCTTGCCCATTCAACCTCCGAATGGCACACATACACAATCCATGTCTCAGTTGTCTCAAGGCTTAAAAATCCTTCTTTAACCCATCTCTTCCCCTTCATCTACAGTACACTGATTTAAGTGGATTTAACAATTGACATCAATAAAGGATCATAGCTTTCACCTGGATTCACCTGGTCAGCCTATGTCATGGAAAGAGCAGGTGTCCTTAATGTTTTGTACACTCAGTGTATGTGGTATCAGTGCTGACAGCAAGATGTGTTGTTTTAAATATCTCAGACCTAATTCTGTTGTAGTGACCCTATCATAGCCAGATGAAAAACAGTGTTCATGTCTGGATTAGAGACAAAGGAGTGAGTGACGGCCAGAGTAGATGCCCTGTAAACAGATACAGCATACCAATCTGGGTTCAAATAGGTCTGACAGCATATACTGTACACCCATTCTCTTTCCTGAGAAGACAGTGATGCTGACTAATGTGGAGAAGAGAATAGGACCAGAAATTCAACACGTGCCCAACAAAAGATAAATGTGCTGAAGTAGAGAGTGATTGAGCAGAACTACAGTAGAGGACAGGGAGACGTCTGCTGCGTGTGTCAGCTAACATTGTCCACTATAGCTATTGACAAACTGAAATCTAAACATAAGAGATATAAGGGTTTATAAGAGATTATACAAATGATGGATTTAATGTCTGGGTTTGCCCAGTCGCATACACATACCAATTGACTTTAAATAAAATATTTTTTTAACAGGCCTGCAATGTTTGGGTGGGGGAAATATTTTTGGATTATTTAAATTTGTTGTGCCCTCAAGAAGGGTATCGTATAGCAACACATCCCATAATAATGTAAATACTGTATTTTTTTCTATAAATTGTAAAATAAAAATGTATGAATAAAAAACCTTTGCTAAGTGTTCATTCAGGAATATTATAATTGTTTTTATTTGAAAAGTAACATTCTAAACACTTTCACATATCTCACTAAAGCCTGACTAAAAGATCACAACCCCATCACATCAAAATCCCAGTAATGACAGAAACATCCCATAACAAAAGCAGCGTGAGCTGTAGCGCTGTTTGTTTGTTGTGTGCAGTCAGCCAGCCTGAGCCAGCGCCTGCCTGCTGAGAATGTGATTATGGGTGGCCTGCCTGGTCCGGTGCCGGCCTGCCTGTTTGTGTGGGCTGTCTTGGACAGTAATGGTTCACTGTTTCTATTGGATTATGAGAGGGATTTTAAACTGGTACTAAGCCGCAGGGCTGTAGACAGCCTGCGGAGCGCAGGAGCTGTGTGTTTGTGCATGTGTGTATAGGGGTGTGTGTTTGTGGGTGTGTGTGTGCATGTGTGTGTTTGTGTGTCCTGGAGTCCCCAGCAGTCAGCTTGTCTCTCCTGTTTTCCATTGTCTGTGGCCAGAGGTGGCGGGAGGCACAGCATCTGAAATATGAACCTATTCTGCTTCTCTCTGGTAAGACACACGCTTGCTTTAATGAACCTTCTCTTTCCTGTCTTTTTTACTCTTTATTTGGTGTCTCAAAAACTCTACATGTCAGACAGGGTTGTGGAAGTTGAAATTTCAGTTTACTTCCTGAATTGAATTAATTGAAATGGAATTGACCACAACCCTGTTGCCAGGACAGGCTGTCTTGTCTCTGTGTTCCCTGTCCAGTCACCGGAGCCTCTGGCAGGTTGCTCAGTCAGGGGAAGGATAGGTAGCACAGAGATGTTATTGCTGTTGACAGGGATCCGACATGGACTCTCTCAGAAGGGAGACATAAAGGAGATTGAGCTTTCAGTTGCACTATGCTTTAGAAAGTTATCGAGAGACATTTGTGTATTGTAGTTGTTTGTTACATTGGGTTTTAGAGCTGACAGATTATTTTAATAGGAGGATTCAATGTTCTGAATTGATTAAGCGGCAAATGTTCATTTAATTGGTCCTAAAAGACAATATATGTTTCTATTCAAATACATACTCTTTAGAGGTTGACAGAGTCAAGCAAGACAGTATGATGCTTTTGAACTTAAAATGTCATTTGTAATGTAACTTGAACTTTGAAGAAAAGTTTAAAATAATATTATTTGAATACTGTTGGGATAGGGGGGTTATGAAAGTGGTTAGGACACAGTTAGACAGTCCATTTGCCCTATACACATCCTAGATGAGACTCCCCAAACTGGTTAGCAACCTGTAACAATAGCCCACATTTAAGAAAAAAAGCATTATATTTTTTATAGAATCGACAGATGTAAAATGTAAAATACCTTGAAGAATGAGAAACAATAGATGTTTTTGGCATAAATGTTTTTAGCCTATTTGGGATTACTGGGTGAATGTGGTCGACATGGCGCTCCTTAGAACAGATCACGGATCACCAGGTTATGTAGCGGGGAACATGTCCTATTCATGGATTAGGCCAAAGTAATCACCCCAGATTCAACATTTAATCCCCTATGCTCACTGTGTAAAGTGTCAATGCAGCTACTTCATTTGTTGTTGGCATGTTACGTACACTACACACTTCAGGACTTGACTTTAACAGCAGGTCTGACTGTAACACAAGGTAGGATTTAAGACACCGGTAACTGGGTTGGTTTAGCACAGCATAGGGATTTAAAACAGATTAGGGGTTTCTGAGACTAACCAACCCCAAATATGAATACAAAAGTTGTAGTACTAGAAAGGCTATGCTCGGTCAGGGCTGTATTGAGTGATAGGAATGATAGGAATGGCATGACCTTTCTAGTATTACAATGTTTGTCTAATGTGGAGCACATGTTGACTCATCTATCCGATCTGACCTCAACAATCCCTGACCCACAATAAAGATCACAGGGTCAATAAGCAGTGCTCAAGCCCACTCAAGGGTCAAAGGTCAGAAGGACAGTGTCTTACTGTGTGTCATACTGTGTCCCTCCCCATCACAAAAGGTCTATGTGGTCACATGGCCATGGCTTTGAACTGGAAACTAGGGCGCATCGTTCCTTTAATTAAAGAGTTATTGATAATCAGATTTATTTTATCAAGTCTCCTAACCTGACCTGGCTAGCCGCATCCCCCCTGATTTACATTACATTTACATTTACGTCATTTAGCAGACGCCCTTATCCAGAGCGACTTAAACATTTTCATTTGTTTTATATATATATATATATATATATATATATATATATATATATATATATATATATATATATATATATATATATATACTGTATATATATATATATACTGTATATATATATATATATATTGTTATACAGTGGGGAAAAAAAGTATTTAGTCAGCCACCAATTGTGCAAGTTCTCCCACTTAAAAAGATGAGAGAGGCCTGTCATTTTCATCATATGTACACGTCAACTATGACAGACAAATTGAGAAAAAAAAATCCAGAAAATCACATTGTAGGATTTTTAATGAATTTATTTGCAAATTATGGTGGAAAATAAGTATTTGGTCACCTACAAACAAGCAAGATTTTTGGCTCTCACAGACCTGTAACTTCTTCTTTAAGAGGCTCCTCTGTCCTCCACTCGTTACCTGTATTAATGGCACCTGTTTGAACTTGTTATCAGTATAAAAGACACCTGTCCACAACCTCAAACAGTCACACTCCAAACTCCACTATGGTCAAGACCAAAGAGCTGTCAAAGGACACCAGAAACAAAATTGTAGACCTGCACCAGGCTGGGAAGACTGAATCTGCAATAGGTAAGCAGCTTGGTTTGAAGAAATCAACTGTGGGAGCAATTATTAGGAAATGGAAGACATACAAGACCACTGATAATCTCCCTCGATCTGGGGCTCCACGCAAGATCTCACCCCGTGGGGTCAAAATGATCACAAGAACGGTGAGCAAAAATCCCAGAACCACACGGGGGGACCTAGTGAATGACCTGCAGAGAGCTGGGACCAAAGTAACAAAGCCTAACATCAGTAACACACTACTCCGCCAGGGACTCAAATCCTGCATTGCCAGACGTGTCCCCCTGCTTAAGCCAGTACATGTCCAGACCCGTCTGAAGTTTGCTAGAGTGCATTTGGATGATCCAGAAGAGGATTGGGAGAATGTCATATGGTCAGATGAAACCAAAATAGAACTTTTTGGTAAAAACTCAACTCGTCGTGTTTGGAGGACAAAGAATGCTGAGTTGCATCCAAAGAACACCATACCTACTGTGAAGCATGGGGGTGGAAACTTCATGCTTTGGGGCTGTTTTTCTGCAAAGGGACCAGGACGACTGATCCGTGTAAAGGAAAGAATGAATGGGGCCATGTATCGTGAGATTTTGAGTGAAAACCTCCTTCCATCAGCAAGGGCATTGAAGATTAAACGTGGCTGGGTCTTTTAGCATGACAATGATCCCAAACACACCCCCCGGGCAACGAAGGAGTGGCTTCGTAAGAAGCATTTCAAGGTCCTGGAGTGGCCTAGCCAGTCTCCAGATCTCAACCCCATAGAAAATCTTTGGAGGGAGTTGAAAGTCCGTGTTGCCCAGCGACAGCCCCAAAACATCACTGCTCTAGAGGAGATCTGCATGGAGGAATGGGCCAAAATACCAGCAACAGTGTGTGAAAACCTTCTGAAGACTTACAGAAAACGTTTGACCTGTGTCATTGCCAACAAGGGGTATATAACAAAGTATTGAGAAACTTTTGTTATTGACCAAATACTTATTTTCCACCATAATTTGCAAATAAATTCATAAAAAATCCTACAATGTGATTTTCTGGATTTTATTTCCTCATTTTGTCTGTCATATTTGACATGTACCTATGATGAAAATTACAGGCCTCTCTCATCCTTTTAAGTGGGAGAACTTGCACAATTGGTGGCTGACTAAATACTTTTTTGCCCCACTGTATATATATATTTTTTTCGTTTTTCTATTTCTTCTTTTTCTTTAATCTTATTTATTTATTTATATATATATATATATATATATATATATATATATATATATATATATTTTTTTTTTTTATTCTATACTTTTTTCTATATTTTTTATTGTACTCCATATTACATTTTTCAACTTAATACTTCTTGTATTCCCCAAAAAAGTTTAATGTTTTAATATTTTTTACATAATACACTGTAATTTATGCTTTAAAATGGCAAAATGGTCACCCTGTCTCATAGAAAAGTGTGTAGAATTGTAGTATATAATCTTTAAAACTGCAACAACAAAAAATCTCTCTGCCAAATTTTCTCTCCGATGCCAAGAGGTGGGCCTTTAAAATGTTACTTCCCAAGCCCCGAAACTTGGTTCGTCCGGCCATGCACTGCTGAAGTCATAGTAAAACTCCTTGTATGCTATTTTTCTTTCACTCGAGTTATGTGGGGGTCCCTGATGAATTTGCTATCACAAAAGGCGTCCCCGGCTCCCAAAAGTTTGAGAATCCCTGCTGTAAACCACACTCAGTGTGTTTATACTGTTCTGTGTCCTTCCTGTCCCTGATCATGTTGCTCTCTTTCCTCTGGTCTAGGAGGGCTCGACGGACAGCCTGTATGAGCCTGCTCTCAACAAACACCCAGTCATCCAGGAACACAGTAGTAGAGTTCCCAGTCGACACAACAGCCGACACAGCAGTCCTTCTCTGAGGGACAGGGCCAAGTGGAGAGGCTCAGATCCATGTATACCCACAGTGAGTTCTACCAGATATTTGACAAACTATCAATACACTAACTACTGTACTCCCTAACCCTAACCCTAGCAAATTGTTGCACATCAACACCATTGCAGTTGCTAGACTGAGCCTTTATAGATAATCTATAGGTGGCTATCCAAATAAAGCGGGAACTAAAGTAGACCTCATACCTCATATCAGGCCAACAGCTTCCAACACACTGACGTTAGTCTCCAACAATAACAAACCAGTCAGACACTGCTGGTGACCTGTGACTACAGTCTGCTGCTGAAACTTCAGGTCATTGGATGGGTGCCTGAAGACCAACTTTTCTGTGTAAGCCTATATCGATCTCTAAGTTTCATCAGGGTATTTGGAGATGGCCTACTTATGCAATACATTATGTGTGCCAGTTCAATGCAAAGTGTTACATTCCATTTATTTTCTTCCCAGGAGCTGTCCGAGGCTCACAAATCCCATTTGAAAAAGAAGAAGAGAAGGTATGGAAGTTTGTATTGTTTACGGCTGCCAGTCAATACATGCTTTGGTTAAAGTGAGAGTGAGGGGCTAGGTTAACCCTTGAAATGGATGCTAAGGCGTGCTGCTTATACGTCCAGGAGATAATAAGTTAATCAGGAGTTCTCAGCAGGTCCACCGTTAGCGTTCCTGTCCTTTCATGGTGGCCTTCACTCTCTAAGCCCCCAGGGAGCTGTCTGTTTGTACCTTGGTCCATTGCTCAAGTCCATTAGAGGGCACCTATTCCATAATTGTAATTACGGAACAAGGGCATAGTTCACAGCCTGCTTTGACTGAGGATTTTAAAACAATGACCCAATGGATGTTGAAGTCCAAGGGGGTTTCTAGGGATGTTTATTTGTAATGTTAATTCAAGCAATTACACACTGAAAGCTGATGTATTTTTCTATATGTTTGACAAATTACAAGCAGTCTACCTGATCTCCTCCACTTAATTCTACTGTAGTAAACAATTAAAGATGGAACTCTTTTCTTAAAGATGTACTTCTCTCCAAAGATCCACAAACAAATTGCCAAGCCCAGTCCATTTACTGACGTAGGTGGAACATAAAACATGTTTACAGTTGTAAACATGGAGCCTATAGCTAGCCTGTGGTTGTGTTTAACTATGATATTAGATCAATGGTGTGTATTAGGTGTTATGGTGCAATTTCATGAGAGTTGGGTGGGATTAGGATTAGATTAATTGGGACAAGAGTTGGGATTTATAATATTCTTGCCCATTTACATTTATTGCATGTACTTACCTATTGTAAGTCTAAAATTTAAGATAAAAAGATTATGCGATTTATAGCCACATTTCACAGAATGTTGTTGGAAATACAGTACCTTGGATTTGGATACCCAGAATTTCTATTTAGGTTAGTGGTTTACAGAATGAGAAAGACCCATACTGTTCAAAACATTGCTATCGCATGTAAGGAGATGGGTCAAAATGTAGAATTGTACTGTGGAAATTACTTGTTGGTTGTGAGTGAAGCAAACAGTTGTGTTATGATAAATCTTATCAAGCAGATCATTGTTGTTGCAAGATTTAATCCAGTTAGTATTGTGTGTTTCATGTGTTCACGTAGCAAGCCTAGCATCAGACTTCTCCTGAGGTGTTAATAACTAATATGCCATCATCATAGACCGTTAGTGACATTTAACTAATATGGTTAAACATCAACATTCTGACATAATGTCTGCACATTGAGTGAATGCTCTGCTAGAGACAACTTGTAGAGACAACATTGACCAGAATTTGTTTTCAATGTAATTTCAGATCACATGTACCAACAACGTCAACATCGGACAATGAAACCTTAGGTTAGTACAAAAATCTATTCAGTTTTTGTCCATTTCAAATTGCAATACACTGATACATTTGACATGCACAGACGTGTTTGGGTGAGAGTAAAGTCACAGGCTTCTCACTAACTTTGCTTTGGTCCTGCTCTCCCATGTATTTTGAGCTGTATAGTGTGCATACAATGCTGCACTCAGTATTAGTAACCTACTTGGCCCTGCAAACCTACTGGCTTCTGTATTCCTTTTGACTTCACTTGGCTCCCTCTTAGCATTGCTGCCACTAATATAGAGACCTTAATGGCCTCTGTTTTTCTCCCCTAACCCCATTGCAGATAACACAGACACTAATGTCTACTGGCAGTCACGCAGAGAGAAGCAAGATTTTGTTCACATCAAGAATAATCACAACGAAGGTAAACGTCCAGAAAAATATGTCAGCCAGAGAACATAAACCCCATGTTTCATTTAGGGTAGTCTGCTTGCTAAGGCCCGAGAGAGACACCATATGTGTGAGACAGACTTGTAGGATTTAGTTAATGATGACCGATACAGACCGACCTACTGATGCTCCCCATGCTTTTCCAAAGTCAGTGATGAAGGAAAAAACCTATTGTAGCGTTTTATGATGAGGGATTATGTTGAATGAGACAGCTGAATGAAAGCAAACGGAGTGTCTGTTGTTGGCTGTAAAAAACGATCTGAGGCTGGACAGATGGCCCAGACAGTTTCCTTCGGATTCTGGTTCATGAGGCATAGTTACAGTAGTTAACCCTACACCCGCAAATCTACAACCAAACAAGTCAAAATTGTGGTGTGTGTCACTTACAACAACCTACTGAGTACCAAAGAAAAGTGGTCTAACCTTGCATTCTTTCCTGTGGTTCCTCAGAGATGGGTCGAGGTCCTTGTAATAGAAGCGTGCTGGCAGTAGAGGACAGAGTGGAGCAGCTGAACTCTGAGAGAAGAGAAAAAGACCCCACAACTCAGGTAAGACTATATCATCATCATCCACTGTTGGACAAAATACCAATTGTAGGCTAGCACTATACCACAAATTGATGTTGGTTAGAGGTATTGGACTTCACTTTTCAAATGACAAGGGCAACTAGATAACCACTTTTCCCCTTAAATGAGCAGCATTAGCTTAGCTTATCCAAACAGGTGAGCCCAAATCACCTGACCTTGCTCATTTCATCACTATGTAGGATATTGTGTACACAGGCAATAATCTCTAGGTAAAAGTCACATTTTGAATTTCCGACAGGTTTTTTCTCAATTCTCCCCTCTAATGCCCTCCCAATCACAAATACATCTGTAAAATGTATGGCCCTTGTTTGTCACTTTCTTTTTGAGATATTATCACTTCCTGATTGGAATGCTCAATCATCTTACTAATGAATTCCCCTGACACATAACTTTTTGGTTGTATAAACATTTTGGGTCATCTTGAAATACAGAGAAAGTAAGCTACAGTCCCTCGATAATTAGCAACGTAGCCTACATTAAGCCTCCTACAGTCGCAAATATTTAAGGACATGGTGATGGTTGTGGTGAAGTCCACCCTAGGCTCCTATCCTCTTACCACAAATGCGCTCTCTGTCTCCCGCCAATTCGGGCGCATTAATTGTTTTATTAAATGTGAATTATCTGTTTATCAATTCCCGCGATTGCTGGTACATTTACCGTTGATCCCCGCAATTTCCCGAATAATCTAAAAACGATAGTGTTTGGATGACTTATTTTCATTCACGGAATGTATTATCAGTAGGCCTGTCACATTCATTTACCATTCTCATTCTTGGAGCGGACACGTTTGCAGAGCTCATAAACCACGCTACACTTGTAAGAATGTTTTGGGGGAATATTTCATTTCATTTCAGTCCCGTGTAGCTCAGTTGGTAGAGCATGGCGCTTGCAACGCCAGGGTTGTGGGTTCGATTCCCACGGGTTGCCAGTATGAAAAATTTATGCACTCACTAACTGTAAGTCGCTCTGGATAAGAGCGTCTGCTAAAATGTAAATTTAAGACTTTTCTGTCAAATTTTATTTGGAGAGTGCCATGTTTGTTTGCATGTGTCTGGTTTCTCCATCCCGCCAAAATGTTGAGTGATCTCACATATAAATACACATGCATGTCACGTTTGGAAGTCGGTAGATCTATTGTGAGTTGAGATACAATTGGTAAAAGTTAACAATTTATACAGTGATGAAATGATTAAGTCTGATTTAGACGAATTTACCAATGTAATGAATGATATATAAATTGCATTTTATGTAGAGCCATGTTGAACATTAGGCCTAACCCTGGTTTTCACTAAAAGCATTGAGGATATATGTAACTCATTAAACTTTATTTCACTATAATCTCTTATTGTTCTTTTGTTAATGCAGGGGGTGAACTTCGAGGCCTGGAACCCAAACTATGAGCCCCCTGATAGCCACCAGCAGAACATGGTGAGTGTTATTGTCAGCATGGGCAGCCTTCAATTTAATACATTTTTAGTATTTATCTACAAGATATACACAATAAATAGTATCTTGTTTCATGCAGTGCTAAATACTGACCGTAGGCTACAATAGACGACACAGCAATTGTAGATTGGTGAGAAGAACAATGCACTATGGCATTAGCACAATGTCCTGTGGGACAAGCAGGCAGCAATCACTTTATCAGCACAGTAATAATGATTAGTAATGCAGTGCAGATGGCAGAGCATAGCCTTGGTAATCCCTCACCCACATGGCCCCTGAGCGGCACGAGGATCGGTCTGTGTGTATGTGTGTGTTAGTGTGTTTGTCTGGATGTGGCATGCAGATCTTTGTGTGTGTCAGGACATGTGTCTTTTTGTTTGTTTGTGAGACCAGAAGAGATGAAACAAGCCCTCCCTGTGCTTCTTTCTCTAGGTATAGTATACCAACCAAACTGGCAAGGGGAATGTGAGCACACATGGGTTATTACATGTAGTGTCCGTTTATATGGTTCTTCTGTATTTGGTCGTATCTATTTGAGATTTTGGCACAGAAACCGTTGCTGGTGCTGACATATATGTATTTATCGAGTGAAATGTACCTTTGCATTTTATTGTGGTGAAACTTGAAAACGTCCCAGTCCACCCCTTCCCTCATCCTTCATCCCGCTAGTTGAATTACAACTAACAGATCAACCAACGTTCTCAGGTGACTGGGAAGGCACCATGTGGTACAGTTAGACCTACTGCTCTGCTGGCCAGGATTGTCAGGGTGGTAGGGGTGAGGAAGAGGTGTAGGCAGGCTGTGAACTGAGAGTAGGAGAGGTCAGGTGTGTGTCTGTGGCGGCGGCCATGTCACAGACACTCCTCCACTTTCATTTTCTTGCTGACTCTACAACCAGTGCAAAACTTAAGACAAATAAAAATAAGACAAAAACATGGCATGTGAAGTTTTCACTTGACACCTTGAGAGTACTAGGCATTACATAATGCACACTGATATTATGGACACTGATATTACGGACACTGATATTACGGACACTGATAGCCTACCCATATTATTCTACTGCAGACTGGGGATGCGGAGGCTGACTTGGCTGAATCTAAGGGAAAGCTGAAGAGGTTCCAGAGGCTAGTAAAAGTGAAGAAGGGAAGCCAGATTGGACTAGATGATGGAAAGACTGACAGCAATTGTGAGTTCTCATGGATGCACCTCGGCTCAAAAGGCAAAGACAGAGCTGCCTGCCTACTTGATACAGAACAAATATTATGAATACAAAGCCCTAGGAAAATAGGGCAACTCTTGCTAACAATTGAAAGCTGATGATTGTATTGTTCTTTAAAGAATAAATTACGTATCGCCCTCAAGGCCTTAATCAGAATCTATGAATGAATAGGACTAAAAAGCGCCTTATTTCTCTTGTCCAGGTCACTTGGCAGACTCTGTGTTCAGTAACGACAGTCCCGTCATCACCTGCATCGGGCTGGGGAAGAAGACAGACAAGAAGTCCTCGAAGGCTGCCCCACCATCGCCACTGAAGCAGCAGACTAAGGAGACCAATGGGAAAGCTGTGGAAGGACCTTGGAGCACTGGGGTTCACGACCACCACTGGGGCCTCACAGAAGTCCCTCCACCCTGGGATGTCCCCTACCACACCTGCCATCGGCCCCCAGGCGAGCCCCGGAACTATGGCTTTGACTTCACCCTGCCCCGAGCAACAGCTTGGGACCGCTTTGAGAGTCTGGTCCAGGAGCTGGACAGCAAACAGACGCCGCCAGTGTTCTCTCACCAACGGGTCATCCGCTCGATCACAGATCTGGACATCTCAGAATCCACGGTAAGATACGGTTCACTTAAAGGAGCTTACATACAGGTCTGATAGAGGTACTGTGGGAAGCTGTGGGACTGGTGTTTCCTGAGAAATGATTGCTTTGTAGGGCACACTTACCCCTACAGAATACATTTATATCAGTTTTTATTAGGCAATATGATTTCTATACAAAAAATTGCTGTTGAACACTACACAAGCAAATTTCTATTTGGTATTCATTTAACAATGCTTTAGCTTAGTGAGGTAATAGAACAGAAACTGCAATATACAGGCTTTGTGGTAATTCACCCTTCCTGTGCTCACCAGTCGCTTGGCCACTTCCTCATGAGTAGTTTTACTGGTGGCAGTGAGCTGTATTTAGCTTGGTAGCATTGTCTATTATTTAAATTTAGACAACAGTTTGTGACATTGTCTGAAAAGTCCTTCAACTTTTATAAATTGCAGTCATGGCAAAAAACGAATTACTCATATTATTACAACACCAATCCAGCAGTCATCAATGAGGCTTTCTTGGTGCACTGAGGATGCTTCAGTGTCTGTAGCTTATTGACCAGACTTTCCACCTCTCACCTAAAAGTACAACACATGCATGCCTTTCATCACAGATAAACAGACTGTGTAGATATAGTCACATCCTGGCTGCCTTAGAGGAAATGTAGCTGCTCTGCACAACTGTTGCAGTACAGTAGGTTGTTGATATGATGGTTGGTCAAATAAGCTACAGCACAGTTGTTTTTTTTCAACAACAAAAAAACTGACCAGCAGTCATTCAGATTCAGCACTATGCTTCAGAGGAAACCGTCAAATGTCTCAGACAAAGACACCAAGAGCAAGACAAAACCAAAGGTGAGATCTTGTTTTCGCTTTTCGATTTGCTGCTGTAATAACAAAAAACAACATTTTATATGGCTGGGCATTTTGTTTTACATTTTTTAAACTTAAAGTACTTGCTGTAATTTAAAATAAAAGGAAAAGTTCTAAAGCATATTTGCCAAACATTAGGCTGTATTACAGCAGTAACTCAGGATATTGAAGATTAAGATTCACTCAAAAGTTTGAGTTCATTATAAAAGCAATACTAGCATTTATTGCTCTTGCTATTTGACCATTATTTCTGTTAGAAATCATTAGCTTTCCCCAGTAGGTGACAGTGACTGCAGCCGGCCACGGTTCACGGTTCACTAACGGTCAGATGGTCAGTGCTGGGCCACGAGCCAGGGTTTAATGTAACAGATGTTGGATGAGAGCCTCAGAATGACCACTAAAATGAATCTAATGGGCCGCTAGTGAACAACGGACCATTGCTTTTCACACAGTCACATTTTTTATGACGTTTATGCAGATTATTATCTTTCAATTAGCATAGTGCAGATGAGCAGATGACAGGTTTTAGGGCGAACAGCAGGATGTACTAGAATAATAAAATCCATAACAATAACAATATTATATAACAGGAATACAACACAAAAAATAGTAGCACAAGAATTACATGAAATACTAAAATATTAAATGTATTACATTGGATTTAGTATAAGAGATTTACATTACATCACTTAATGGCAAACGGCCGACCATAACTGATACAAACCTCATTAGCTGTAGTGAAGCTGAACACCCCTCAGTACTCATCCATTACTATACAGTAGTACTCATAATACTCATGATGTCAATAGTAGTAGTAGTAGTACAAAACAACAATACTATAAAGTCAAGGTTTGGTTTGGCAGCTTTAGAAAATACATCTGTAGAGATCAAACAGAACCTGCAGTTACATCATCAAATCCAATCTTAGTCAAATGCAACATAAGACACAATAGAAAGTACAAAAAAGATTAAGAGAAATCTCATAAAATGCCATAATGGCGCCTGGTGGTAATATAGACAGTACTATGTAAATACATGACCAGAGGAACAGGCAGGTTAGATGTATGGTTTACAGGGCATAGGCCTTCTACAGACATGACTTGTTTGTATTGTGCTGCTTTGAGTTCAACATAAACACGACAGCCAGACAACATGTGTCCTGCTGTTACCATCCCAAACACGTTTTAATCTGTTAAATTAATCTCTCATCTCACCCAGCGCTCCACCAGCTTTGGCCGATTTGACTCCTTCAGACACCAACCAGCCCCAGTGAAGCCAGAGGAAAATGGAAGTGCTTTGGTACGTGAAGCATCTGTCTGATTTTGTCGGCCACTTCAACAAGTCATTCCTTAAGTGACACTGTACATTTTCTTAATTGTTTCTAGGGATGTGAGGGTTATGGAATTTTGGATGACGGTTATTGGTCAACCAAATGACCGCAGACACCGTTATAGCTGTTGGAATAGCAAAAAAAAAAAAAAAACATTTTCTCCTCTCCTCCGCTCATGACCGCATGTGCTGGCATAGAAATAGAATGACTAGAACAGGCATCCCCATTCAAGTCAATGATGGCATAATGGGTAGACTGCCGGCCATAGACTGTACCCATAGCAGAGATAGTTTTGAGAAGATGGGAAACTCCATTCGAATTGTATTAACACCCATTGTGTACGTTTCTCATGCGTCATCAATGGCCACGCGGTGCATTCTGGGCGATTCTGGGACAAGGAGATCACTCCTACAAGTATTGAATGGGAGTCAATTGGGCACTAGCTCAAAAACCCAGCATTAGCATGTATTACTTGAACAAGAAGTACAACATTACAAATATTTTCCGATATGTGAGATAATTAACTTGTTCTCTGTAATATCGTATAGCTTTGACATCGTGACATTACGTATTTTCGAAGAAAATAGGCAGGTTTCTCAGCTCATACCCACAACGTGAACGCGATTGGTCGACAGTCTGCTGGGTGGGGCGTTATACGTTTCTCCGTTCATTGGCCACTGGGATTCCTATCTCCTCCTTTCTAAGTATCTCTGCCCAGAGGAGCAAAGCAGGAAGTAAAAGCAGGAAGTCAAAGCAGGAAGTCAAAGCAGGAAGTGTACCCATCAATATGTGCTGTTATTTGTTGATTAAGCTCAACTGACATTACTTAAGTGATAATGCCCGAGAAACCGGTGTTTGGAGGATATAATGGCAGGGGTGTTGGCAAACCGTGCCAATATATCCACCAAACACCGGCTTCGAGGGCATTATCACTTTTATACAACGGGTTACCAACATCAAATCAAATCAAATCAAATTGTATTGGTCACATACACATATTTAGCAGATGTTATTGCGGGTGTAGCGAAATGCTTGTGTTCCTAGCTCCAACAGTGCAGTAGTATCTAACAATTCACAACAATACACAAATCTAAAAGTAAAAAAATGCAATTAAGAAATATATAAATCTAAATTAGGATGAGCAATGTCGGAGTGGCATTGACTAAATACAGTAGAATAGAATACAGTATATACATACAGTGAGAGAAAAAAATATTTGATCCCCTGCTGATTTTGTACGTTTGCCCACTGACAAAGAAATGATCAGTCTAGAATTTTAATGGTAGGTTTATTTGAACAGTGAGAGACAGAATAACAACAAAAAAATCCAGAAAAACGCATGTTAAAAATGTTATAAATTGATTTGCATTTTAATGAGGGAAATAAGTATTTGACCCCTCTGCAAAACATGACTTATTACTTGGTGGCAAAACCCTTGTTGGCAATCACAGAGGTCAGACGTTTCTTGTAGTTGGCCACCAGGTTTGCACACATCTTGCAGATCTTCTCCAAGTCATTAAGGTTTCGAGGCTGACGTGTGGCAACTCGAACCTTCAGCTCCCTCCACAGATTTTCTATGGGATTAAGGTCTGGAGACTGGCTAGGCCACTCCAGGACCTTAATGTGCTACTTCTTGAGCCACTCCTTTGTTGCCTTGGCCATGTGTTTTGGGTCATTGTCATGCTGGAATACCCATCCACGACCCATTTTCATTGCCCTGGCTGAGGGAAGGAGGTTCTCACCCAAGATTTGACGGTACATGGCCCCGTCCATCGTCCCTTTGATGCGGTAAAGTTGTCCTGACCCTTAGCAGAAAAACACCCCTGTTGTCACCTTCTCACCAAGCTGCTTGGCAATGGTCTTGTAGCCTATTCCAGCCTTGTGTAGGTCTACAATCTTGTCCCTGACATCCTTGGAGAGCTCTTTGGCCTTGGCCATGGTGGAGAGTTTGGAATTTGATTGATTGATTGCTTCTGTGGACAGGTGTCCTTTATACAGGTAACAAGCAGAGATTAGGAGCACTCCCTTTAAGAGTGTGCTCCTAATCTCAGCTCGTTACCTGCATAAAAGACACCTGGGAGCCAGAAATCTTTCTGATTGAGAGGGGGTCAAATACTTATTTCCCTCATTAAAACGCAAATCAATTTATAACAGTTTTGACATGTGTTTTTCTGGATTTTTTTGTTGTTATTCTGTCTCTCACTGTTCAAATAAACCTACCATTAAAATTATAGACTGATCATTTCTTTGTCAGTGGGCAAACGTACAAAATCAGCAGGGGATCAAATACTTTTTTCCCTCACTGTATGAGATGAGTAAAGCAGTATGTAAACATTATTAAAGTGACTAGTGTTCCATTATTAAAGTGGCCAGTGATTCCATGTCTATGTATATAGGCCAGCAGCCTCTAAGGTGCAGGGTTGAGTAGTCGAGTGGTACACGGCTAGTGATGGCTATTTAACAGTTTGATGGCCTTGAGATAGAAGCTGTTTTCAGTCTCTCGGACCCAGCTTTGATGCACCTGTACTGACCTCGCTCTGGTGGTTGATGTCCTTGATGATCTTTTTGGCCTTCCTGTGACATCGGGTGCTGTAGGTGTCCTGGCGGGCAGGCAGTGTGCCCCCGGTGATGTGTTGGGCAAACCATACCACCCTCTGGAGAGCCCTGCGGTTGCGGGCGGTGCAGTTGCTGTACCAGGCGGTGATACAGCCCGACAGAATGCTCTCAATTGTGCATCTGTAAAAGTTTCTGAGGGTCTAAGGGGCCAAGCCAAATTTCTTCAGCCTCCTGAGGTTGAAGAGGCGCTGTCGCACCTTCTTCACCACACTCTGTGTGGGTGGACCATTTCAGATTGTCAGAGATGTGTACGCTGAGGAACTTGAAGCTTTCCACCTTCTCCACTGCGGTCCCATCGATGTGGACAGGGGCGTGCTCCCTCTGCTGTTTCCTGAAGTCCACGATCAGCTCCTTTGTTTTGTTGACGTTGAGAGAGAGATGATTTTCCTGGCCCCACTCTGCCAGGGCCCTCACCTCCTCCCTGTAGGCTGTCTTGTCATTGCTGATAATCAGGCCTACTACTGTTGTGTCGTCTGCAAACTTGATGATTGAGTTGGAGGCGTGCATGACCACACAGTCATGGGTGAACAGGGAGTACAGGAGGGGGCTGAGCACGCACCCTTGTGGGGCCCCTGTGTTGAGGATCAGCGAAGTGGAGGTGTTGTTTCCTACTTTCACCACCTGGGGGTGGTCCGTCAAGAAGTTCAGGACCCAGTTGCACAGGGCGGGGTTCAGACCCAGGGCCCGAGCTTAATGATGAGCTTGGAGGGTACTATGGTGTTGAAGGCTGAGCTATAGTCAATGAACAGCATTCTGACATAGGTATTCCTCTTGTCCAGATGGGAAAGGGCAGTGTGCAGTGCAATGGCAATTGCATCGTCTGTGGATCTATTGGGGCGGTAAGCAAATTGAAGTGGGTCTAGGGTGTCAGGTAAGGTAGAGGTGATATGATCCTTAACTAGCCTCTCAAAGCACTTCATGATGACAGAAGTGAGTGCTACGGGGTGATGGTCATTTAGTTCAGTTACCTTTGGTTTCTTGAGTACAGGAACAAATGTGGACATCTTGAAGCAAGTGGGGACAGCAGACTGGGATAGGGAGAAATTGAATATGTCCGTAAACACTCAAACCAGCTGGTCTGCGCATGCTCTGAGGACGCGGCTAGGGATGCCGTCTGGGCCGGCAGCCTTGCGAGGGTTAACACGCTTAAATGTCTTACTCACGTCGGCCATGGAAACGAGAGCCCACAGTCCTTGGGAGCGGGCCGCGTCGGTGGCACTGTGTTATCCTAAAAGCGGGCGAAGAAGGTGTTTAGCTTGTCTGGGAGCAAGACGTCTGTGTCCGTGACGTGGCTGGTTTTCCCTTTGTAATCCGTGATTGTCTGTAGACCCTGCAACATATGTCTCGTGTTTCTGAGCTGTTGAATTGCGACTCTACTTTGTCTCTGTACTGACGTTTTGCCTGTTTGATTGCCTTACATATTCAAATAATGATTGACATATTTTCATAAAAAACATTATTTTGATTAATTTATTCATACTATTCCATCCTCCCACGAGATATAGTCCCGACATAAATCTAAGGTTGCTACCCAAGTCGGTTGACAGAGTCGTTAAGTCTTTTTGCTCTGTATCTATGGACGCGAACCCAGTCGTTCATTCTAAATGTTCCATTGCCATACTGGCTGGCAACGTTCTTATCCCTTGCATGCTAGCTAGCCAACTACGGCTAACTTACAGTCATGTCAAACAGTGCAGCCAGAATAACAGCAAAGTAGCTGCATTTGCGTTTGTTTAAGCTGTTTTCTAGTGATATTTATTTGGATACAGCCATAACAATGAGCTAATAATGCGCGATTTCGCCTGGCATAGAAAATATGCTCTCTCGTCAGGACACTGTTGTTCAGAGGAGCTAGCCAACAACACAGATAACACAATCACTTCAAACTGAAGCTGGAAAGACTGCAAACTAGCTGCATTTCATTTAGTTTCACCTGTTTTCTATTGAAATTTCTTTGTATATATCCATAAAAATGATGCCAGCTGATTCATGAGTTCGACTGGCTGAGAAAAGCTGTCTGCTTGTCTGTCTCGTCCTTACTCCCTACACGTTCATTACTATGGGACTGCTGGAGATCGAATTTCAATATTGAAACAATGTTGCAAATGTCAGAGAGACAGACAGCAAGGTTTATACAAATCTCCACTGTTGAAAACCAAATGCTAGTCTAAAAAAAATGGTAGATAATGTCTAAATGCTTTTTATAGTGGAGCTCAAGTTAATAAATTGCCGGGCTGATGAGACAGTGGATTGCGCAGTGAGATGGAACAGAGTAAATAGGCATTTCAACGTCATAGCTTTAGCCGGTGGTAACTTGTGGTTTTAACCAATCAGCATCCGGGATTAGACTCACCCGTTGTATAATATAAATACATTCCATTGCATGAGCCACATCAGTTAAAATAATTTGAATGAACATTCTACATTACCATGGAAATTATAGCATCACAATACCTGGCAGCCATTGCGAATGTAACCATGAGTTTACCAGCCAAATGACCAGGGTTAGAGGTTCCAATCCCGTTCTATTCATTCTAGTTCTATGTGTGCTGCTGCTGCAGGGAGGGGGGCATTGCCTAGGCAACCGAAGACTTGTTTGCTACAACACCTTGCTTTTTTCAGCAAGGAGCAACAAAATGTCATCACATTGTAAAGAGTCCAAGTTACCGCAGAAACAGACTCAACTGCATGAATGCCCGGCCGTCCTGTCTTCATTCAGCTGTTCGTTCCACAAAAAAACAATGGTTTCAAACGGTTATGACGTTTTATTTTGTTTTGTTTTGTATGGTCTTCATCCATAATCAGTGGTTACACAATACGGTAATTATGCCAGCCCTAATTGTTCCAACATTAGTAGCAGGGCTGACTCATCTTTTTAAGTTATCTTGCTGTATCATAGTTTAAGCATTTCAACTATGTAACAACAAGTGTGTGTTGATATGTGTGCAGTCTGCAGAGGGACAGCAGGTTGATAGTGGTGACCAGACCAGATCAGGAAGTATAGGCAAGAAGATGAAAGCCATCTCACTGACGATGAGGAAGAGGATGGGCAGGCAGTATGCCAAAGCCCTGTCAGAGGACATGGTGAGTGAGACAAAGCACGTTGTGTCAAACAGATCAGGCCTCAACTGTGTTTTCTTTTCTTTATTTTTTATTTTTCTTTATTTTAAGGTAAAATCTATTAAAACAAAATCAATATTGCACTTCAATTTTTACATTACAATTACTATTGTACAGTTTTTCTTTACATTGCAAACACATCTGACAACCCCCCCAAACTCAATTTTTTTACATTCAGTGTACCACAGACCTCTGATAAAAGCAAAACGAGTGAAATTAAAGTTTAACTAAAAGAAAGCTGATGTCTAAATGCAGAGGTATAGGCTAGTATGTAGGAAATGTACAGTAAGACCACACAAATTATAGGAACAGACCACCTGCGTAATAATGATCAAGTCCACTCTTCTATGTAGCAAAAGAAAAGAGCAACACATGAATGAACAATAGAAACCCAACAGAACAGGAACCTTGGAAGTGAATAGTAAAGAATGATCATACAGTGATCATAGAGTGGTAATAGAATACAGTGATAATACAAAACAGTGATAATACAGTGTATGGCTCCTCAGGAGCTAAAGAAAGGAGGATTATAAATTATGACGAACAAGTTAGGCTACACCCAGGCTTTTAGTTCAGAGACCTACTGTACATGTCCAAACACAGTCAGAATAGGACAAAGACTCATTACCACGTCACCTGGTAACCAAGTTATTTGTGGAGCTAAAAAGACACACCTCTTCTCTCACAAAGAAAGACGAGGGAGGTACAGTCAGAGCCTACGGTGGAGGAGCAGGTATAGGGGGATTACACACAGCTCCTGCCTATGTCAAGTCTCATTTATAAATGGCAACGCAGCTCTGTGTGGATTAAGGACTCAGAGGGAGGAGAGGAGCTCCTCTGTGCCCTTGCATAAACTGCCTGGGATACTGAGACGTTTTGGCACATCTTAGAACCCTGCCCCGACCCGGCCCTCTGATTGGTTTAGCTTTCTCCTTTCCTTCCTCCTCAACCGCCATGCTGTGAGATGAGATGGGGAGTGACGGCATAAGGAGAAAAGGAGGGCAAAGAAAATAAAAAACATGACCTGTTCGGTTGTTTTTTTACTGGTAGGGCGACGAGACGGAGAGAGATGAAGAAGGAGAAGGGGATGTTGTTTACGGCGTCCATTCATTTCCAAAAGGACACAGAAAGTCCAGTCACTCTCTGGAAAGCCTCTACAGTCTCAACAGTGGACAAAGCTCCTCCAGTAAGCACACAGCCAACACCTTACTGGATTAAACAAGTTCACTCTCACTCTTTACTAATGCAATTTTAGTTTACTCTGCGTCATAGTAAAGCATGCTATACACATTGCAGTTGATAAAAATCAAGTGTGTAGTTCCATCTGCTAAGGCATTTCTTTGGACCTTGATTTACCCAACAAAGGATGCCTGACAAATAATCACAGTCAAGTCTAAACTGACAATATTTCACTCACTGCCATAACCATCATAATGTAACTTAATATTCTAATTGGTAAGTAGGATACTGTTAGCATCAATCATAGGAGGCTGCTGAGGGGAGGATGGCTCATAATAATGGCCGGAACGACGTGAATGGAATGGCATCAAACACCTGGAAACTATGTGTTTGATGTATTTGATCCCATTCCATTGATTCTGCTCCAGCCATTACCACCGTCCTCCCCAATTAAGGTGCCACCAACCTCCTGTGGCATCAACCCTCATGAATAGACATTGCATTAAGGAGTAAAAAACTCCCTCACTATGTAGCATGATGTACAACAGTACCCACAATGCTCACCGTAACATTCAGCCTTTTGTTTGTAAAGGTTGTTGTGAAGCTAACATGATGTCTGTCTCCTACCAATTCAACTGGGTTGTGTGCTGCGCCCTAGGTGGGGTGACCAGTGGGTCAGACGGCTCCAGTAACAGAGACAGTCTGAGGCTGGATGAGGAGCTGCCCCTTTCCTACACAGGGCAGTTCTGTGGCAGAGCCCGGGTCCACACTGACTTTGTCCCCAGTCCCTACGACACTGAATCACTCAAACTCAAGGTAACCTACCTGACTGACCCATCTGACTGAATTGTCAAACCTGTCCTTCGGCACATCCTCCTGGATTTTTAAGCAGTTGAGATAGAGCCAATGTCTTGCAAAGTAGCTTGTGTAGACCTAATACATGCATCGCTCAAGTAAAATGCCAATTTCTTCTTTCAGGTAGGGGATGTGATTGAAATCATCAGCAAGCCTCCTATGGGGATATGGACAGGCATGCTGAACAACAAGGTGGGAAACTTTAAGTTCATCTACGTGGACCTCATAGTAGAGAAGGTTCCTGAACCGCCTCAGAAGATGACACACAGGAGGAGCAGGAGACCCCGGCCCAAAACGCTACAGGAACTCCTAGAGCGCCTCAGTCTGGAGGTAGACCGACTCGCTCTCTCTCCTCTCTCTCCTTCTCTCTCTCACTCACTCACTCTCTTATCTGTCTCTCTCCTCAAATCTGTTGTCACAAACTATCGCTTGCAAACAAACTTGTTCCCTGCATTCTGAAAAAAAAAAAATACTTTCAATTGAATCTTTACAGAACAATAACTTTCTGATGTCAACACAGTGATGACAGACAGGCTTGAGTTGTGTTTTTCATTGTAACATGATGACTTGCTTACCGATTGGTATTGTTTCTATATGTTGTAGGAGTATGCCTCCTCCCTGCTCTTGAATGGGTACCAGACAGTAGATGACCTGAAGGAGCTGAAGGAGCAGCATCTGGTGGAACTCAATGTGACTGATTCTGAACACAGACATCGTCTGATGACTGCCGTCGAGTGCCTCCAAGATCCCCAAAGTGAGTCAGGGCAGTCTTTTCCCTACTTTGATTTCCAGGTGGGATGCAAAGGCACTCAAGACAACACCTGGGCCTTCTGGCATCAGAATTGCAAATTGAAACCAATAACAACCCAAACTCTTTTAGGTGAGGCGCTCCAAAGCTGCTAGTTCTGACAAAAACGGTAGCAGTGGAGGAGATCATAATTCCCTCTAAGCATATGTACTGTATTCAGATTGCCAAAGGTCTGGTTTTAGATGTCAAGCGGATAAGGAAGGGTATACCGTCAGCGGAGGAAGTGCTGTATCAGGGCCGTGGTATCAGGGACACAGGTAAAGAGGCTAATGATAACTGGATAACCACCCCTTACAGCACAGAGAACACAACAGGACAGTTACCACACACGGTTCAAAATAGTTACAATAAACAATTCAGGACACTTAGAGCAAACAGCTCACGACAGTTACCAATCACAGTTTAAAACCATTACAACAATACTGCTAAATTGGCAAACTGTCTATTATAACAAAGTAATATCACAGCAAGAAGTGAACTTGCAAGAAGTGAACTTCAGAATGTAACATTAATTGTGTGTATCTCACAGTGTGTGTAAATAACAGGATATCAGCCATCTTGTCCTGGCCATAGCTAGCTAAAGAAGATGTCTTACACTGCTAATACCTTAATAGTCAGTTGCTAGAAGGACATGAAAGGAAAGGCAGAGTCGGAGTCAGGAAACATAACATTGAGTGATGCAAGACAAGAAAAGCCACTAACAGGAAATGTCATTTTCAGAAGCCACTGTGGTTTGGGTGTTGCACTAGCCTATATATCTTGTTTTTCAATCTTATGCAAACATTTTGGATCTTTTGAACTTCACTTTTCGCTGCAGTAAGCAAAAGTAACAGGGTATCAGACTCAGAGCTTTAACAGCCTACATAAAGATTGAAACATACCAGCTGCAATAGGCATATTTTGGTGCTGGAGAGAAAAAGGAAACTATAAAAAAGGTATTTCTGCAACTGATATTGTGGGAGCATATCAGATTTGTGGACATTACTTTTAAATAGACCACTATAAGCTCTCTAAGCCCCCATGTCTGTTCCATTCCAGGTGATGGTCAGGAGGGCGAGGTAAACCAGGAAGCCAAGTACCCAACTGAGAGCATTAAAGCCGATCTGAACTGCCCCAGAGACTCTGGCTGCTACATGCCTTCTGACTGCTCAGACAACAGCAAGGAGGAGACAGACATCAACGTGCCAGCACTGAACCATCATCCTCCCATGGCTCAGACCTAACCGCCACCAGCAGATAGACACTCCTAAGGGCCTTTCAGAAAAATGTGGATCATGCAACATCTGTCTCATGCGAAATACCCTTTACGTAGGACAAGAGCATTCCTCTTTGTTTTCATACTGCATTCAGTATCAGTATTCTATGTGGCTGGCATTGCAGTTATCATGCATTTACCACTGTTACCACGTCATTTCAACCCATAAAATCTATGTGATGACGTTGAATCAACTTTTAACCTAAATCCAATGACATTGTTGATTTCACGTTAGTTGACAACTCAACCAAATGTAAATCAAAACTAGACGTTGAACTGATGTCTGTGCCCAGTGGGTATCTACTGTACACCAAAGGCAGACCAGTCATTTCCTGAGTTGGCTTGGCTGCTGGTTTGTAATTGTTGATAATGATGTATCCCAAGCCTTTATTTACAATTGTTCCTCAAGTCTTGTGAGTCACTCTGTCATTGGACCTGTGAAATCATTGCAGTAGGCTTTGTTTTTAGCACAATGTGCAATGTCAACATTGCTGTGTTAGGGTGTTCAGTACATTCACAGAGGTGCATGTGGAAGAGGGAGATATTAAATGAAGGTTTAAAGGATTTTTCTACTGTATCTCAGATTTATGGTATTATTGAACATTTTGTTAAAGTGATTTGAGAGTTAGTAGCTTACTGTCAGTTTTTTTGAAAGCTCTCCTTCATTCTAGCAATTGTTATACCAATGTACCAATGTATTAATGAAACGACTATGAAATGCAATATTTTTCCAAAAATAAAGTATTATAATTTTCTGCAGCTGTTAAATCATTTCTGGTGAGAATGGCACAAGGGGATACAATTTTTTTTGCTGAATTTTCAGCGGTAAGACCAACCAGCAGAGGTATGGCAATATAGTCCTACAATTGGTTGGTAAAAATTCTTCATAATACGTTCATTTATTAACATTTGCATAGGCATGAAATAAGCACACTTTGGATACATTTACATTCTTTATTTAAGCAAGTTACTGATTTCAGATGGAAATCTGAGAGGTACATCACTCCGTCCTTACTTTAGAGCAGGAGTCCACATGGTGGCAGTGTTGTCCAAATCCCTCAGTAACCACCATATTTCCTGGATTGGGCCTAATCCAACACAGGCCTATTTATTCCCAAATGTATAATCCTAAACTGAACAGATTTGACCATTCTGTTGTTAGCGGTGTGTCATTTATAATGAATGGAGAAACGTTTATAATAGCACAATCAGGACTCTTAAGGAACAGATCTGTGAAACACTGCAAATGAAAAATATACTTGTTTTTCCAACTCACACAATTATGGGGTTTTATATCAACTATAAATGCTTTAAACATTACAGTAAGTACAATTGCACAGTGAGGTAAAAATGAAAGAAAAAATATCCACAGTAAATGATGTACAACGACACGGTCATGTTTCCCCAAGATAAAGGGACACATCTATTGGTTTATTTCCACGAGTTGTGTCATGTAACAATATAAGTACTGAAACACACTGCCCCTGCAACAGACTTTTATTGTAACATACCAGAAACTACTTTACAAAAAGGCATCCACGTGAAGAAATAAGGATATAATAACTTCAACCTAAAGCAAACCAATAATGGCATGACAGAATAGGCAGAGAAAATATGATTACAACATGGACTATGTTGACTATTAAATGCTCTTCATGTGCATCCCTGTATGACCACAATGCAAGAACAGTGTACATTCCCAATGATGCAAAATGTCCTTCACACATCGATAGGAGAGGACACACACTACTCCTCATGAGAGTGAATTCAGTCTTATAATAGCATACTATTCAGAACTCCAAACCATGACAATCCTCTCAGAGGGAAAATAAAATAACTGAAAAACAAAAACTAATATTTACAAAAATGTACAGTTGCGAAGAAAAAACATCCCATGATCCTTCAGAGCTTGAAATACAACTTTTAAAAAGGTCACTCCAGCAAGTAGGTCAACAGTCTTCAAAACATTGAACATTCAGAACTTTTAAAAGTTCAAAGTTCTAACATGTTGGCGGAAACATCCAAGTTTACAGTAGCAGCCATTGTGATTCTGTCTGTTGCAGTCACCATGTGATGCCGTCATAAGTGTAGTTGGCACAACCAGCTCAAACCGGTACAGAGACAACTCATCTGTATTGCACGTTGGCATAGCCATTCTCAGGATATAGAGGCAGTTCATCTGAACTGCCCATTGGCCTGGCCATTCTCCAGGTATACAGACACAGCTCACTTGTACTGCCCAATGTCGTAGCCATTCTCTGGATATAAATGTTCATCTGTACTGGTTACTCCATTGCTTACCTCTAAAAAAGGAGAGAAAAAAGAAGAGTTGAACTTTGACCCTCACTCTTTTCCATTCTTGATTTGATTCAGTGGGTTAGTTGGAGAATACATGCTGGCAACATCAGGGTTGTGGGTTTGATACATGCATGGGCTACATACTGATTATACTGTATGTGTCAGTTGCTTTGGATAAAAGCGTCTGCTAAATGCCTGTATTATATTTGATTTATTTACGTACCTGAGAATATGAGTTTCTCCTTCATGATGTTGACGTCTCGGCTGGGCCGGCGCGTCACAGCACTCAGCATGATCTGTTCTGGGTTGTAGTTTTGCATTCCACTCATCCTCCATCTGACAGGGCGACGCCACACCGTCAGAGACACATTCAGAGTCAAATGTCAAATGATGAATACATATTGATGAATAGATATTGATTAATACATATTGATGAATACATATCGAGCAAAATGAAACATAGTGTACACTGAGTACAAGCTTTAGAGCTTCAGACACAAGTGAAGCACAAGGACAGAAAACAGAAAACAAGAAAGCAACATGGGCCATGAGAGTCACCCCAGTTACCTGATCAAGTGATAGCTGACAGACGCCAGAGTGCAGCAGAGAAACGTAGCATGCAGATCAGGCAGAACAGAGGACAAATAGGGCAGAACGAGAGAGAGGAGGGAATGAAAGAGGACATAAGAAAAAAATATGATATGGACAAACAGAAGGAGAGAAATTGACAGACGAGGAGGAGAAGAAAAAGAGAGAGCGCAGTGAAAGGTAAAGAGCAGAACTGTCAGTTTAGAAGCAGAAGGCTATGCAACACAAAGCTCAGCACACACAGACCTTTACATTTACATAACAGTCCTGAGAAACACTTGTACATCAGACTAGACAATGGAGCAGAGCAGACATATCACTGAAGTGTGTGCAAACCAGCTTTCATCGGGGATCAGTGTAGTAGAGAACTTTGCATTGTTATTGCAATACTCTCGAAATATTCAAAAGTGTGAGGGTGAGGGGTTCATTCCTTAAAACGTATGCTGCAAATGCACAACCATTCACAGCCAAGTGAATGGTTTGATCATAATGGAAAATGGGTACTTACTTTTGAAAGATGAATATTCCTGTAACTATGGCGATGGAGACAAGATCTGAGGTGATCCAGACCAAGCAGTATTCATTTGGGCTCTGTAAACAAGAAGAGCTGTTCAGAACCAACATCCACCACTAGACAGCAGCATCACCACAAATATACTGTACCTCTCATCATGATGAACATGCGATGAGGATCAGAACATGAATGAAACTACTTGAGTTCTATGTCCTAGTCTCGAGCTGTGTCCTTCGGTCTGGTTGTGCCCTGGTAGTGTCTTGTCGTACTCTAGACCCTCACTGTGCCCAAGTTTGCTGCTGTGTCCCCATGCCTCACTTCACTCTTACCCAGCTATTCTGCTGTTCCCTAGTCACTATCTTTACTCTCCCCTGCGGTCCCCAGCCTCTCTGTGTTGCCTTGCCTCTGTAGTGTAGCAGGTAAAAAGGGTACCCAGTCATATAAAAATTGACTGTTACACTCATGGGTACATTCCATATGGCTATACTGTACTAAAAGTGTAGTTATTGCAATGAAGTGGTGTAGACGGAGATTCTTACCATGAGCCAGATGGGGTAAGGCACCTTGCGGAGGACCTGGGGGGCGTCGGAGGAGACAGAAGGCACTCCGCTGCACCACAGCACTGAGTAGAGCCACGGCTCGTTCACCGGGTACAGTGTCACACTCATGTTGTTCGCCAGGAAGTCCCTACAAAGATTAATAGTTTATTGGACGTGCTGGCCTGTGAGTAACCGTAACGCAGGGTGAGGTTAGGGTTAGGGATTAAGATAAGATTCTTGGGACTTTTTAGATAACATGTTTGGACCTCCCAGATAACATTTTGGACAATCACAGCAGGTGAATGGTTAGGGTTAGAGTTTGAGAGTAACAGTAGGTCTGGCTCACTGAATTTCCTTGTTGCTGGCCTGTGAGTAGCGCAGGGTGAGGCTGCTGATGCCCCTGTGTCTGAGCTCCTCCACTGACAGTTTCTTCAAGGAGGTCTGCTGCAGCCCCCTGACACGCCCCCTGTCTGTGTCCGGAGTCCACGTCACCTAAAGAACCACAGAACACAAGACATAGGGTAAGAGACTGGACCTGCTTTTTGATTCACACATCTCTACCAATGTTGCTAAGGATTCAGTGACAGATACAGTGGGGAGAACAAATATTTGATACACTGCCGATTTTGCAGGTTTTCCTACTTACAAAGCATGTAGAGGTCTGTAATTTTTATCATAGGTACACTTCAACTGTGAGAGACGGAATCTAAAACAAAAATCCAGAAAATCACATTGTATGATTTTTAAGTAATTCATTTGCATTTTATTGTATGACATAAGTATTTGATACATCAGAAAAGCAGAACTTAATATTTGGTACAGAAACCTGTGTTTGCAATTACAGAGATCATACGTTTCCTGTAGGTCTTGACCAGGTTTGCACACACTGCAGAAGGGATTTTGGCCCACTCCTCCATACAGACCTTCTCCAGATCCTTCAGGTTTCGGGGCTGTCACTGGGCAATACAGACTTTCAGCTCCCTCCAAAGATTTTCTATTGGGTTCAGGTCTGGAGACTGGCTAGGCCACTCCAGGACCTTGAGATGCTTCTTACGGAGCCACTCCTTAGTTGCCCTGGCTGTGTGTTTCGGGACGTTGTCATGCTGGAAGACCCAGCCACGACCCCATCTTCAATGCTCTTACTGAGGGAAGGAGGTTGTTGGCCAAGATCTCACGATACATGGCCCCATCCATCCTCCCCTCAATACGGTGCAGTCGTCCTGTCCCCTTTGCAGAAAAGCATCCCCAAAGAATGATGTTTCCACCTCCATGCTTCACGGTTGGGATGGTGTTCTTGGGGTTGTACTCATCCTTCTTCTTCCTCCAAACACGGCGAGTGGAGTTTAGACCAAAAAGCTCTATTTTTGTCTCATCAGACCACATGCCCTTCTCCCATTCCTTCTCTGGATCATCCAGATGGTCATTGGCAAACTTCAGACGGGCCTGGACATGCGCTGGCTTGAGCAGGGGGACCTTGCGTGCGCTGCAGAATTTTAATCCATGACGGCGTAGTGTGTTACTAATGGTTTTCTTTGAGACTGTGGTCCCAGCTCTCTTCAGGTCATTGACCAGGTCCTGCCATGTAGTTCTTAGCTGAAATCTCACCTTCCTCATGATCATTGATGCCCCACGAGGTGAGATCTTGCATGGAGCCCCAGACCGAGGGTGATTGACCGTCATCTTGAACATCTTCCATTTTCTAATAATTGCGCCAACAGTTGTTGCCTTCTCACCAAGCCGCTTGCCTATTGTCCTGTAGCCCATCCCAGCCTTGTGCAGGTCTACAATTTTATCCCTGATGTCCTTACACAGCTCTCTGGTCTTGGCTATTGTGGAGAGGTTGGAGTCTGTTTGAATGAGTGTGTGGACAGGTGTCTTTTATACAGGTAACGAGTTCAAACAGGTGCAGTTAATACAGGTAATGAGTGGAGAACAGGAGGGCTTCTTAAAGAAAAACTAACAGGTCTGTGAGAGCCGGAATTCTTACTGGTTGGTAGGTGATCAAATACTTATGTCATGCAATAAAATGCAAATTAGTTACTTAAAAATCATACAATGTGATTTTCTGGATTTTTGTTTTAGATTCCGTCTCTCACAGTTGAAGTGTACCTATGATAAAAATGACAGACCTCTACATGCTTTGTAAGTAGGAAAACCTGCAAAATCTGCAGTGTATCAAATACTTGTTCTCCCCACTGTAGATACACGGAGAGTCCACCTTACCCTCTTCTGTGATATCCCAGACCTCTGGACAGCCCACAGGGTGTCCATGATCCAGGTCTTGTAGTGTGGGTGTTCTGGGGGAGGTCTATGGAGGTTTAACAGGGCTGAGCGGTTGGCCCTGGCTGCCAGGCGGAGCATCTCTACCAGGCTACACACTGTCAGGTTCCCCATTCGGTTCCGGTCCCTCCCTGTCAGAGACCCGACTGTCCAGTATGGGTCGCTCTGGAGAGACAGATATGGAAGAGAGGTATTTTATTTGATGAGGTGATGCAAAGTGGAGTGAAAAAATATACTTGGTGTGGGGAGAAGGAGGGGTAGAGAAGGGGAGAGACTAAGAGAAAGAGCAATACAAGGAGGGAGAAAGTCAGATACTCAGTGAGAGGGAGTGAGAGAGGGGTGGGGGGGTACCTCCAAAAACCACTGCCCCGCATTTAGAGAGCGAATCTCTGTCCAATTGAAGAGAGAGGCGTCCTCGTGCTGTCTGTCAGGAAAGACCTTGGCAATGTCAGTGGTCCTTCTCAGGGTGCGGTCTCGCATCAGGAAGGGCACCCCGTCCAGACTGCAGAGGAGAGGTGGGACCACAGACTTACATCACTGAACCAGTAACACTTATGTCATTTATGTCACTGCCATTTATGTCACTGCTTTCATAAATAAAATAAAGAGGTTCTGTGGCAATGGGAGTACTAAAATGGGCCTGTAATAACAGGCCTATAATGCACTAGTGAAAAGGAATGGATGTGAGATTAAAATGGTCTTAAAACAAGTTGACTACATCAAAGGCAGGGTCAGAATGGGGGTGTTTAGATTTTCTCCCTAACCTTTAACACGCTGTGAATGTTGCTATGGCTTCACTACAGAAAGGCCCACCCGTCGTTACCGGTCTACTATAGAGAACTCATTACTCCTAACGTTAAGGTACTGGGGTGGGGTGGGGTTAGGTTATTGGATGGTAGAGTTAGGTTATTGGTTGGTTACCTGACGGTGACGTCGGCCTCCAGGGAGCTGACCCCCTGCTGCAGGGCCTTGTTGAAGGACATCAGGGTGTTCTCTGGCGCCAGCTACAGCACAGGACACACACACAGACAGAGGGACAGACAGAGAGACAGGAGGTACAATGGGTTATTATGTGTTGTTAAAATCTGATGACAGTCATTTGACCTAGTGGTGGAAAGACAAATTATTTAAGCTTTAAATAAATAGGAAATAGGTTAGCAGCCGACTACATGTGGAGAGGTAATTTTATGTGCAGGAGTTATCTTGTACAATGGGCTTGTAAACTCTAGCCACCATTACAATGTGCTGGGATGTGAGGTCTCAGCACTCAGCTACAAATATATTGCATAATTCCTTAGGATCTACATGAAGTGGCTAGAGAGTAGGGGGAAAGAAGATATTTCTGTAGGGGGACACGGACTCACCATTGGAGCCCCCCGTCTTCCAATGACGTCAGGCCGAGGTTTGAGGCTGTTCCTGTCCATGATGCAGGGTGAGGAGATGGCGAGGGGAGACATGTAGAGGACCAGTAGGACACTCAGGTAGACCAGCAGCACTATCATGTGGAACTCTGGGAAGGAGGAAGACCATAGAGTGAGGACATTAGGTCCCAGATTTCTGACTGCTGCTGCATTTATTGTTCATTATCAAACATCTTTATGGTTATAATGATAATAATCATGAAGTAATGTAATAATGTATAATATTGGTATTAAAGGAATCCTGATTAGAGTTACAGTGAAACCAATCAAAAGCCAACCCAATACTTACTGGTTCTCCCTGCACGGATCACATGTCCAGCGACTAGCCAACCCAGTGCTGTGACAGCAGCCAGAGCTCCTATGTGCAGGAAAGGACCTGTGGACTGAATTACAACACAGGAAGACAGGAGTTGTTTACACACACACATACACACTAGTAGAGAAACAGAAAAATAGAGATGTAGACCTGTAGCGATATGAGAATGATGTCCCATTCGTCCCCCCACACATCATTGATGGAGACCACACCGCTGACAGCGGTGATCAAGGCAGCCGACACACCAATCTGTGGGGACCAACATATCAACAGTTTGATTTGTTCTACAAATTCCTATGCAGGGCTAACAGTAACATGGTATTCATTTCCTCATCAGTAGGTCAGAGTTAATTTGAAGGCCTACCTTTTGGATCCAGTAGAGGTTCAGCTGCTGTCCCAGTGAAATATGACAAAGTGCTAAAATCTGGAAACGAACAGAGCCACAATCAGTTTAGATCTTACTGAATCTGCAGCAGCAACATGTGCTTTACTGTGTGTACAGGCATTTAACCAAACATGGGAAACTTACTCACCATTAAAAATGTAATGTAACTAAAGCCAACTGCGATGGTTGCGAGAATGGGGACAGTGCCGTCCTTCCATTCCCCAGAACGGTTGTATAGTAACCTTTGAAAGAGAGACAGAGGGTGGGGAAGGTGAACCAGTGCCTTGATAAGAAGAGGATGAAACAGACCAGCCCTGATGGGAGATATTGAAATATGCACACATTTTATTACTAATTGAAAGCTGCTCAAAAAGGAGAGTGCTTCTGGGGGACATAAACCATGGTGCAAACTCAGCTCACAGTCACTCTGGTAAGGACTAGTTTACACTCACCAGTTGAATTGGTTGTAGTCATTGTGGGCCTCCAACCAGAAGTAAGCCCAGAAGAGGAGCAGGGAGAAGGTGCTGCACAAGATGATGAACCATGCACACTCCCACTGGTGAACACACAACAGAATGAAGAATACATTTACTTTCTATAACACTTTTAACATACCGTTCCACAACTTTCAGCTTAAACAATCACACAACGACTAAAATAAGTCTAAAACAGATTACCTCTTAAATCTAAATAAAACTGTAAATTTGGGCAGATTACCAGGCACTTCCCCCATAGTAATTGACTGGATTGAGGAGGATAAAACAGGTCAGAGGCGCAGCCCGCATGCAGAAAGGGCACAAGGTTGCAAAATAGCACATTTTCCAATTATTATTATTTTATTGAGGTGAAATGTACTTACTATGATTGTGATATGTGGTTGTCTCACCTAGCTATCTTAAGATGAATGCACTAACTGTAAGTCGCTCTGGATAAAAGCATCTGGTAAATTACTAAAATGTAAATGTAAATAAGTAATTATAAAGGATATGGAATAATGTCAACTGTTTTCATGACATCTCTATCTGCCACGTTCTACAACGTTTGCGTACTGAATGTGGCCCAGGTCAGACCACAGCCAGGTAGAGTTGACCAGTGATCAGCTTTACATCTCATGCTGGCCAGACTAGTGCTGTATCTCCTCCACATCTCCTCCAGTCTATTATTATAGGCCTGGCGATAATGAGACATGTGTAGACGCATGGTAGTTAAGAGGGAAATACCACATTAACACTTACACTGCACTCAGAGGAAAGGCTAGGAATCTCATCAGTGAGGTCTTACCTTCTGCTGGTTAGAGTTAATGCACAGGGGAGAATGGGAGAGTAGAGGGGCTGGTGTTTTAATGAAGTCTGGTTTCTGAGGTAACCACCACACTACTTCTGTTGAGGCAGTCAATTACCTGGTCTTGCACAATACTTCACAGCCTTGACAAGTCTGTGTGTGTGTGTGTGTGTGCGTGTACAGTGCTGTGAAAAAGTATTTGCCCCGTTTCTAATTTTATCTACTGTTGCATATTTTTGATACTGAACGTTATCAGATCTTCAACCAAAACCTAATATTAGATCAATGGAACCTGAGTGAACAAATAACACAACGATTACATACTCATTTCATTTATTTTATAAACAAAGTTATGGAACACCCAATTCCTCTGTGTGAAAAAGTAATTGCCCCCTTACACTCAATAACTGGTTGTGCCACCTTTAGCTGCAATGACTGCAACCAAATGCTTCCTGTAGTTGTTGATCAGTCTCTCACGTCGCTGTGGAGGAATTTTGGCCCACTCTTGCATGCAGAACTGCTTTAACTCAGCAACATTTGTGGGTTTTCAAGCATGGAAAGCTCGTTTCAAGTCCTGCCACAACATCTCAATTGGGTCTGGACTTTGACTAGGCTATTCCAAAACTTCACATTATTGCTTTTGAACCATTTTCATGTAGACTTGATTGTGTGTTTTGGATCATTGTCATGCTACATGACCCAGCTGCGCTTCAGCTTCAGCTCACAGACGGATGGCCTGACATTCTCCTGTAGAATTATTTGATACAGATCAAAATTCATGGTTCCTTCTATTAAGGCAAGTCATCCAGGTCCTGAGGCAGCAAAGCATCCTCAAACCATCACACTACCACCACCATGCATGACCGTTGGTATAAGGTTCTTACTGTGGAATGCAGTGTGTGGTTTTCACCAAGCATTATGGGACCCATGTCATCCACAAAGTGATACTTTTGACTTATCTGTCCATTGAACATTCTTCCAAGGATCTTGATGATCATCCAGGTGCTTACATGTGCTTTTTTGGCAAACTTCAGTCAACTTTTTGGACGAGATGTCCCATTATGTCTGGCGAAAACCAAACATTGCATTCCAAAGTAAGAAACTCATACCAACGGTCAAGCATGGTGGCGGTAGTGTGATGGTTTGGGGATGCCTTGCTACCTCAGGACCTGGATGACTTGCCTTAATAGAAGGAACCGTCTGTGAGCTGAAGCTGAAGTGCAGCTGGGTCATGCAGCAAAACAATGATCCAAAACACACAATCAAGTCTACATGAAAATGGCTAAAAAGCATCACAGTTGAAGTTTTGGAATGGCCTAGTCAAAGTCCAGACCTAATCCCAATTGAGATGTTGTTGCAGTTCATGCTTGAAAACCCACAAATGTCACTGAGTTAAAGCAGTTATGCATGCAAGAGTGGGCCAAAATTCCTCCACAGTGATGTGAGAGACTGATCATCAACTACAGGAAGCATTTGGTTGCAGTCATTGCAGCTTAAGGTGGCACAACCAGTTAAATCAAATCAAATCAAATTTTATTGGTCACATGCGCCGAATACAACAGGTGCAGACATTACAGTGAAATGCTTACTTACAGCCCTTAACCAACAGTGCATTTATTTTAAACAAAAAAAGTAAGAATAAAACAACAACAAAAAAAGTGTTGAGAAAAAAAGAGCAGAAGTAAAATAAAGTGACAGTAGGGAGGCTATATATACAGTAAAATAAAGTGACAGTAGGGAGGCTATATATACAGGGGGGTACCGTTGCAGAGTCAATGTGCGGGGGCACCGGCTAGTTGAGGTAGTTGAGGTAATATGTACATGTGGGTAGAGTTAAAGTGACTATGCATAAATACTTAACAGAGTAGCAGCAGCGTAAAAAGGATGGGGTGGGGGGGCAGTGCAAATAGTCCGGGTAGCCATGATTAGCTGTTCAGGAGTCTTATGGCTTGGGGGTAGAAGCTGTTGAGAAGTCTTTTGGACCTAGACTTGGCACTCCGGTACCGCTTGCCGTGCGGTAGCAGAGAGAACAGTCTATGACTAGGGTGGCTGGAGTCTTTGGGTAGGATAACCGTAATCTTAACTCGTCCATTTTATTCTCAAAAGATTGAACGTTGGCTAGTAGGATTGATGGGAGAGGCAGTTTACTCGCTCGCCGTCGGATCCTTACAAGGCACCCGGATCTGCGTCCGCGATATCTCTGTCTCTTCCTCACGCGAATGACGGGGATCTGGGCCTTGTCGGGTGTCTGTAGGATATCCTTCGCGACCGCCTCGTTGAAGAAAAAATCTTCGTCCAATGCGAGGTGAGTAATCGCTGTCCTGATATCCAGAAGCTCTTTTTGGTTATAAGAGACGATGGCAGAAACATTATGTACAAAATAAATTACAAATAACGCGGAAAAACACACATAATAGTACAATTGGTTAGAGGGCTGTAAAACGGCAGCCATCTTCCCGGCGCTGGAGGCAACAACTAGTTATTGAGTGTAAGGGTGCAATTCATTTTTCACACAGGGGAATTGGGTGTTGCATAACTTTGTTAATTAAATAAATAAAATAAGTTTTTAAAAAATGGTTATTTGTAAACTCAGGTTCCCTTTATCTAATATTTTGGTTGAAGATCTGATAACATTCAGTATCAGTAATAATATGCAAAAATAGAGAAAATCAGGAAGGGGCAAATACTTTTTATGGCACTATAAGGATTAAAGTCAGACTCTAGACCTAATGTGACTAATAGAGGTAATAGAAAGTGACAGTGGGGAAGGGGCTCTGACAATGTCAGGTTGCATTTAATTGATTTAAGGTCGACTTACGGTGAGGTGACTACAGCGACAGACACATGGTCAAACTGACACTCACTCAAGAACAGTTGGAGGAATATTTCTAAAGCAGGGTTGGAGTGAATTTAATTTTCAATTCCGTTAATTCAGGAAGTTAGCTAGTGCTGGGAGAGAAGGATATTTTCTGCACCTTTAGCAGACAACACATTACAGTGGGTGATCATACCTCTCACACACCCTTAAAACCCAAGGGGGTAGAAATATCCACACAGTAGTTCCTGAAAAGTCCAGCCAGTGAGCCCAGCCTGGTTCTTCTCCCTGAGCTCCATAGACCATCTGTGGTTACTGGTTTATAAATAGAAGGATGATGTGGCTCAGAGTTAACTTTCTTAAGTTTCACTGCAAACACTCTCCCACTGGACAAACAACACTAAGCGCACATTAGCATACTTTACTGTTTCTCAACTCTGGTCCTTAGGTACCCCCAGTCATACTGGGCAAACAGGAAGCTTCCCTATACAGAGCTTGAAATGTATCATTTTGCAGGCATCTATTCACCTTTCCAGGTGTGGTCTTTTTTTGCCTCTAGCTCAGATACATCACCCAGCCCAGTTCACACAGCCAGTCACAGAGGAAGTCATTCTATAGTGGGGCCATTTCAGACACAACCATAACCAACCACAATACAGGACTGTCATCGAGGATACAGGAAGTCAGTCTTTAGTACAGTGTCATTGTCACCAAGATGATGACGTCTAATCCTGACATCCTTCTAATCCCATCACTTCCTCCTCCAGACTGTTCCTTGGCTTCCTTCTCCTTCCCTCTCTAACGTCTTCACAGCCTGCTAATTATAACCCTGATAGACAGTGCAGCCCTACCACAGTGTTTCATCTACTGAGAAGAATACTGATTAATCACAATGAAGTAGCTTAGTCAGAGAAACAGAATGACTGCCTAGCATTTCCGGCAAACCTCCTCAGACAGACCGTGTACATCTCACCTCTGTATGATACAGTACTATGCACACTTGTTATCCTATGGATTTTGCCATACCAGGTGTGTGGTACTACATGGAAATACATACATAAAAATAGTACAAATATAATTTGTCTCTCAATGATAACTGATGGAGCCAAGAATCATATGTCCAACTCCAGCTGGAAATGTAACCTGTTCAGCATGGGTTGCTTTATGGTGTGCTAGTCTTGTCACGACTTCCTCCGAAGCTGCCTCCTCTCCTTGTTCGGGCAGGCTTAGGCGTTCGTCGTCACCGGCCTTCTAGCCACTGCCGCTCCTCATCTTATCATTCCATTTGTTTTGTCTTGTTTATTACACACACCTGGTTCATATCCCCTCATCAGTACCTGTATAAGTATTCCCTCTGCCCCCCATGTCTTTGTGTGTGATTGTTTATTGTGGAGGTTACTATAGCTCGGTGGAGCTATATTGTATTTTGTATCGCCGGGATATTCACCCGTGTGCCTTGTTGTCTCCAGTGCGCTGTAATACCGCACTGGAGTGTTTTACGCATTGCTGCGTACCGATGTCTTACCGAATAAACCATTTATTCTGTGATTTACCCTCCTGCGCCTGACTCTGTCCAAATCACCCGCCACAGAATCACACATCTGAAGCATGGAGTCAGCAGGAGACGGGAATATGCCTGGAGTCGTGGAGCGGGTCCGGGAGCATTCCAACATGCTAGCCAGCTTGGGCGAAGTGATGGATCGGGTTCTCCAGGTCGTCCAACGCCTGGAGAGGACCCGACCCTTTGGGACCAGCTGAGAGACCGGATCCAGCCACCCACACCCCAGCAACCAGAGGGATTCACCTATCCCGACCGAGGGAGTATGACGGGACAGCTGCCCGCTGCCAGGGATTCCTCCTGCAGCTGGACCTCTATTTTTCTGCCATCAGCTCAATTCCATCGGAGTGGGAGAAGGTGTCCGCCCTCGTCTCCTGCCTCTCGGGGTAAGCCCTGAAGTGGGCCAACGCGGTCTGGAGTGAAGGAGGAGACGCATTGGACAACTACGGGGAGGTCCATCTGAGGCAGGGGACGAGGACCGCGCAGGACTTTGCCCTGGAGATTAGAACTCTAGTGGCTGGGTCCGGGTGGAACGAGCAGGCCCTCATCGACCACATCCGGTGCTGCCTGCGAGAGTATGTCCGAAGGGAGCTAGCCTGCCGGGATACCACGTTGATGTTCAACCAGCTGGTGGACATGGCCATCCATTTGGACAACCTGCTGGCTTCAAAAGGACGTCCTAGAAGGTGCCTGCCCGTTTCACCCCCCTTCAACCCGGATTACGTTCCGATGGAGCTGGGTGGTGCAGCAATCTGGGAGAACGAAGGACGACAGCTCCAGTGTCACTCTTGTGGCAAGAGAGGACACTCTGCTGCACGCTGTCGTCAGAGTTCTTCTGGGTCTGGAGGCGGCAGGCAGGGCACTCTCGCGTCACCCCTGGTAGCGCAAACCCACACTCGTTCAGATCCCTCTGCTGCGCACTTCACCATACATGTCAACTTCCCTGATTACACGGTAGTTCCCCAGTGTAAGGCGCTGGTCGATTCAGGTGCAGCATGTGTCCCTGGTTCGCAGAGTGCTGGGCCGACTGTTGGAGCATGACCTGTATGCCAAGGCAGAAAAGTGTCTGTTCTTCCAACAGTTCATCTCCTTCCTCGGATACCACATCACCACCTCAGGTGTGGAGATGGAGGGATACCGCATTTCAGCCGTGCGTAATTGGCCGACTCCAACCACGGTAAAGGAGGTGCAGCGCTTTATTGGGTTTGCCAATTACTATCTGAGGTTTATCCGGGGCTTTGGCAAGGTTGCAGCTCCCATCACCTCTCTGTTGAAGGGTGGCCGTCCCGGCTCCGCTGGTCTGCTGAGGCTGACAGGGATTTCAGTAACCTGAGGGCTCTGTTCACCTCAGCCCCAGTACTGGCCCATCCCGATCCATCATTACCATTCGTAGTGGAGGTGGATGCGTCCGAGGTAGGGATAGGTGCTGTCCTATCCCAAAGCTCGGGCACATTTTACATTACATTTTTTTTTACATTTTAGTCATTTAGCAGACGCTCTTATCCAGAGCGACTTACAGTTAGTGAATACATATTTTTTTTATACTGGCCCCCCGTGGGAATCGAACCCACAACCCTGGCGTTGCAAACGCCATGCTCTATCAACTGAGCTACATCCCTGCCGGCCATTCCCTCCCCTACCCTGGACGACGCTGGGCCAATTGTGCGCCGCCCATGAGTCTCCCGGTCGCGGCCGGCTGCGACAGAGCCTGGATTCGAACCAGGATCTCTAGTGGCACAGTTAGCACTGCGATGCAAGCTCCGCCCCTGTGCCTTCTTCTCTAAGAATCTCAGCCCGGCGGAGCAGAACTACGACGTTGGTTATCGGGAGCTGTTGGCTGTTGTCAGAGCACTGACCGCGTGGAGGCACTGACTCGAGGGGGCGAAACACCCTTTCCTCGTCTGGACTGACCACCGTAACCTGGAGTACATCCGGGCAGCGAGGAGACTGAACCCTCGCCAGGCCAGGTGGGCCTTGTTCTTCACCCGGTTTGATTTCACGTTGTCATACATACCAGGTACTAAGAATGTGAAGGCAGACATGCTGTCACGTCTGTAGGACACAGAGGAGAGGCCCATAGACAACACCCCCATACTCCCGGCCTCCTGCATTGTGGCACCGGTAGTGTGGGCGGTGGACACGGACATAGAGCGGGCGTTACGCACAGAGCCATCTCCAACTCAGTGCCCAGCTGGGCTGCGGTACTTGCCGTCTCTTGTCCGTGACCGTCTTATCTATTGGGCACACACGTCTCCCTCCTCTGGTCACCCAGGTATCGGCCGTATAGCGCGCTGCCTGACTGGGAAGTACTGGTGGCCTACTTTGGCTAAGGACATGAGGGTGAATGTCTGCTCCTGCTCGGTGTGCACCCAGAGTAAGGCACCTAGGCACCTCCCAGCGGGTAAGTTACATCCCTTACCAGTTCCACAACCGCCATGGTCCCACTTGTCAATTGACTTCCTCACTGATCTTCCCCTCTCTCAGGGTAACACCACCATCCTGGTTGTTGTGGACCGCTTTTCTAAAGCCTGCCGCCTCCTTCCTCTGCCCAGTCTCCCCATGGCCCTCCAAACTGCAGAAGCCCTGTTTACTCATGTCTTCCGGCACTACAGGGTGCCAGAGGACATAGTGTCTGACCGGGGTCCCCAGTTTACATCCAGGGTCTGGAAGGCATTCATGGAACGTCTGGGGGTCTCGGTCAGCCTGACCTCTGGGTTTCACCCCGAGTCTAATGGGCAGGTGGAACGGGTGAATCAGGATGTGGGTAGGTTCCTGCGGTCCTACTGCCAGGACCGGCCGGGGGAGTGGTCGGTGTTCTTGCCATGGGCCGAATATGCCCAGAACTCTCTCCGCCACTCTTCCACTAACCTATCTCCATTTCAATGTGTTTTAGGTTATCAGCCGGTCCTGGCACCGTGGCATCAGAGCCAGACCAAAGCTCCTGCGGTAGATTACTGGTTTCGGCGCACAGAGGAGACGTGGAACGCTGCCCACATCCACCTCCAGCGCGCCGTGCGTCGCCAGAAGGCCAGCGCTGACCGCCACCGCAGTGAGGCCCCACTCTTTGTACCGGGTGATCAGGTCTGGCTCTCGACCCGGAATCTGCCCCTCCGCCTGCCCTGCCGGAAGTTGAGCCCGCGGTTTGTTGGGCCGTTCAAAGTCCTGAGGAGAAGAAACGAGGTTACGTATAGGTTACTACTCCCTCCTGATTACCGTATTAACCCCTTGTTTCACGTGTCTCTCCTCAGGCCGGTGGTGGCTGGTCCGCTCCAGGAGTCTGAGGTGCGGGAGGTCCCTCCGCCCCCTCTGGACATCGAGGAGGCCCCGGCGTACTCCGTCAGTTCCATCCTGGATTCGAGGCGTCGGGTGGGGGGCCTTCAGTACCTCGTGGTGTGGAAGGGGTACGGTCCGGAGAAGCGGTGAGGGATGTCCTCGATCCCTCCCTGTTGCGGGATTTCCACCGTCGCCATCCGGCTCGCCCTGCTCCGCGTCCTCTTGGCCGTCCCCGAAGCCGGTGTCGGCGCGCTGCTGGAGCTGCGTGTCAGGAGGGGGGGGGGGGGGGGGGGGGGGGTACTGTCACGACTTCCTCAAAAGCTGCCTACTCTCCTTGTTCGGGCAGGCTTTGGCGTTTCGTCATCACCGCTGTCTTAAACCATTTATTCTTTGATTTACCCTCCTGCGCCTGACTCCATCCAAATCACCCGCCACAAGTCTTGAGCGAAAGCATTTCTAGGTCATTAATTACAAAGTTCTCTATTGGCTTGAAGAGCAGGACAGAGGTAATCTGGTTCTGAGAAATACCAGCCTACCACTCAAAGTAATACCACTAAGTACCAGACAAGAAAGCAATGATATACAAACACAGGGGTGTCAACTCAGGACTGGGAATCACAGCAGTACTATCTCAATGGTCAAGTCAATATCAGAATGAACTCTAACAATAAGAGTCAGAGAGATAGGTATTGTAAGAGAGTTGCATTTAGTATGTGTAGGGATGTACATGTGAATCTCATTGATGTGTATGTGGATGATATGAATGTCTGTGTGCATGAGTGTGCACGTGTGTGTGTGTGTGTGTGTGTGTGTGTGTGTGTGAGTGTGAATGTGAGTGACTGCATTCTGCTTTGTAAATGGAGAAAGGGAAAGCAGGCGTGCTAAATGGCCAAATTTATGAACAACCTACTCGGGTTTTGTAGTCCAATGACAAGTTAAAGAACAGCAGGAGTGGCTCTGATACTCCAGTCTGCATCACACACAGCTGGGAGTCTGGGTAGAAGCATTATATTAAAACACCCCATTGACTTCTACACCAAGCTTATGGCTACCAATGCCTGCCATAAACCTAATACTTTACAATGAGCAAAGTTCGGTTAATCCTCACTAATACAGACCATTATTTACAGAAAATATCATTTGAGTTACATTTAATAATATGACATTTTTAAAAGTATTCTATTGGATAAACTGAACAATTTTACAAGGACGGTAGCTATAATAAAGCTTTCCTGTAGGTTGAATGCAATGGATAAGTTGCCTGCCTGCCTGTCTGTCTGTCTGTCTGTCTGTCTGTCGCTTTATTTGTGTATGAAGAGGTTTTACCTATTTTCAGGGCCTCCAGAACAGAATCAGACAAATGGAAAACTTTTCAATTATTCCTGAGGTATGATAAGGTTTCAATGCTGGATGGGCAGAACTGTGTCCTGCTAGCCCTTTAAAATGAGTTGAGTGTTATAGTACACACTGACCTCTATACCAGGGTTTCTTAAACTATGGGTCAGGAACCAAAGTGGGCCCTGGGCATGTGAGAGGTGTGTCACAGGTTATTAAAATACATCTATAATCACACACTATTTCTTCTTAATTTGGGTTGTTGGAGGATGATTTGAGTCACAGTAGGACAGTGAATTCCTCATTTGGGTCTGGAGCTGAAAAGGTTTCAGAAGGTTTAAGAACCCCTGCTCTATACCAATGCACACTACTCACTCTACACTCTGCCCCCTTCTAGACAAGAATATACAGTACATGGTAACATTTTACAGAAAGCTGACAGGTTTAACACTTTATTAATTGTTATAAACGCCTATGAACTATAATGTCTTATTATAAGGCTTATAATATGTTATTTTTCTCTAGGAAGCATATATCCAAGGTAGAGGTCATACTGGCAGGCTCTTGCCTGGCAGACTGATATTGTTGTGCCCCATCTCACACGTGTCAGGTTACTGTATCTCAGTCAAGTTTATTTTTTTCACTGTTCTTTCCATGCAGGTGATACGTCTCCTGGCTTTGTTTTGCTTACAAACAAGCCTCTGCCGCAGCGTTAATCTCACTATCAGTGTTGGAAAATCATATGTCACTCGTTGTCTGAACAAGGCAGTTCTTCAATTAACAGACTTCTGTTGTGTAGTGACATTTTTACTACTGTTGCCAAAGCCACTCACTGCCCCTAGCCCTACACAGCCCAAATACCTACTTTCATGCCAGTGACCTAAAATAAAAGCAAAGCAAAGTGTTGCAAAACTGTCCACTGAGAGCAAGGCTGGTTTTATAATTTAGCTCAACACAGCTGCTGACGTTTACCAAGCTTTTCATTGCTTACACTTAAATCTCAAAGTAGCCGGACCATTAAAACCTAACATCAGACGGTAACCAGTTCATGAAAGATCATTCTGGTTTAAACATATTGATTCCACTTTGGTACTTGGAGCTAAATCAGGTATGCTGCAGTAATGCTAATGACAGCCTAATAAACAGGCTAGCCCACTTTTGTTCTACATCCTGTACACGGACACACACACACACACGCACAGACACAAACACACACACCCACACACATGCACACAAACTGTGCTTGTGAAGGTGTATCAATCCCTATATCGGTAACTCATCATTACCATTGATGTTTTGTGGTCTCATGCTGCTCAGTAAATGTCAGATGAGGAGATCCAAAGCGTTTTCTATTGAGCTCAAAGCCTAGTTATTTAACGCAAGCTATATTAACGCAGGCTTTCCAGCCATGCAGCATTAGCACAGATTCCCTGTTTGGGCCTCAATCCATGTGGGTAAATAGATATTATGTCTTACAGTCATTCAGTACTGGTTATATATGTTTTACTTCTTAAAGGGGCATCCGTTTGTCTCAGTTTGTTTAGGTGAGTGAAAGGGCATCAGTACAGGAGAGGAGAGGCGATGAGAGGAGACAAGACGAGAGGTCTCTCTGTACATCACTCCCTTTAATAATAAGTCATTTGACTGATTGAGGACAAGAGTGGTCCTCCGTAACAAATTCAGGCATGTTGCCAGCAGGTGCATTTAAAGGTCAGGACTATCTAGCTCTCAGACATTCCACTGATTGGTACAAGAAGAGAACGTACAAATACACCCATCATTTGTCCACAACAGAACATCTTGTGACATTTGCAGAAGTCTTGTCTCTCACCTTGGAGCTGTTGTCATGGGAACGCTGGTAGCGTTTCCAGCGGCAGCCATAGATCCCAGTGAGGAAGGACAAGCACAGCTGCTTCTCATAGACCTGCTGCAAGGGTTGGTGCTTCACCATGCTCCTTCAGCCTCGGCTCGCCACCGGTCCGCTAGCATCCCACACTGAACAGGGAACAGGGAACGCTGCAGGAGAAAAATTAGATAAGATAATTCAAGAATGGAGAAATAATATGGAGAGGAGAAAGTAGAAGGAAAAAAAAAACTTGAAGGAAGATAGGCGTAAAGGAAGTTGTTGTCAGAGTGTTTGTGTAGGAGACCATTTATTACATTTTCCAGTTACTCAACATGGTGCCTGTCTTTCCAGTAACTGAACTCCATGGTGATCGTTGTGAGGAACAACAGGAACCCTATAAAACCTGCATGAATACTTTGACTTAGTCATGTAAGGGGTAGTCGGGTTGTGGATCAGTGGATTGGTTGCTCTCTCTGCTAGTGTTGGGCGGTATCCTGATTTTCATACCTTCATACCGTTCCTGTACCATACTGGGTATACAGTATTACAGTCAGTGCACACAAGGGGCATATATATAAATCGGAAAGTATTCAGACCCCTAGACTTTTTCCACATTTTGTTACGTTACAGCTTTCTTCTTCTAAAATGGATTCAATTGTTTTTTTCCCCCCTCATCAATCTACACACAATACCCCATAATGACGAAGCAAAAACAGCTTTTTATACATTTTTGCAAATGTATTAAAAAATAAAAATGGAAATATCACATTTACCTAAGTATTCGGACCCTTTACTCAGTACTTTGTTGGAGCACCTTTGGCAGCGATTACAGGCTCGAGTCTTCTTGGGTATGACGCTACAAGCTTGGCATACCTGTATTTGGGGAGTTTATCCCATTCTTCTCTGCAGATCCTCTCAAGCTGTCACGCCCTGACTCTGGGGACTCGTATTTGTTGAGTCAGGGTGTGTATTTTTCTGTGTGGTATGTTCTATGTTGCATTTTCTATGTTTAGATCTAGATCGTGTAGATCTATGTTGGCCGGTGTGGTTCCCAATCAGAGGCAGCTGTAGCTCGTTGTCTCTGATTGGGGACCATACTTAGGTAGCCTATTGGCACTAGTGGGTTGTGGGATCGTGTTCCGTGTTAGGTATGTTTGTTTTGTGTACCTTGGACTTCGTGTTGTTTGTTATTTTGTCGTTTAGTTTAATATGTAATAAACATGTACGCATATCACGCTGCGCCTTGGTCCGTCCCGTTCATCAACGATTGTGATAGAAGATCCCACCAGACCTGGACCAAGCAGTGTGCAGAGGAGGAGCAGAGAGGATGGACTTGGCAGGAGATGAGAGAGGATCTGGCAAGAAAGAGGGAGGCCCTGATCAGGGTGGAGAGGCAATCCCCAAAAAATGTTTGGGGGGGCACACGGTGTGGACGACGAGGCAGCAGGAGGCCGCGACAGGGCGGATCCGCTGGTTAGTAGAGGAGGCCACCAGATTAAGGGGGCCATTGGTTCAGAGGGAGCAGAAGGAAAGTGTAGAGGCACGGCGAGAGGAGCTGGTTAGGCAGCAGAAGGAGCGGGGGTTAATGAAGGAACCCAGTCCCGCTCCTCGCACCAATCAAGTGGTGCGTGTCGTCAGTCCGGTCCGGCCTGTTCCTGCCCCTCGCACCAAGCCAGTGGTGCGCGTCGCCAGCCCGGCCCGGCCCGTTCCTGCCCCTCGCACCAAGCCAGTGGTGCGCGTAGCCAGCCTGGCCCGGCCTGTTCCTGCCCCTCGCACCAAGCCAGTGGTGCGCGTCGCCAGCCCGGCCCGGCCTGTTCCTGCCCCTCGCACCAAGCCAATGGTGCGCGTCATTTGTTGTTTTGTCATTGTGTTTATTCTGAAAAATAAACATGTACGCATATCACGCTGCGCCTTTGTCCGTCCCGTTCATCAACGATCATGATACAAGCTTTGTCAGGTTTGATGGGGAGTGTCACTGCACAGCTATTTTCAGGTCTCTCCAGAGATGTTCGATCGGATTGAAGTCCGGGCTCTGGCTGGGCCACACAAGGACATTCAGAGATTTGTCCCAAAGCCACTCCTGTGTTGTCTTGGCTGTGTGCTTAGAGTCATTGTCCTGTTGGAAGGTGAACCTTCACCTCAGTCTGAGGTCCTGAGCGCTCTGGAGCAGGTTTTCATCAAGGAGCTCTCTGTACTTTGTTCCGTTCATCTTTCCCTCGATCCTGACTAGTCTCCCAGTCCCTGCCGCTGAAAAACATCCCCACAGCATGATGCTGCCACCACCATGCTTCACCGTAGGGATGGTGCCAGGTTTTCTCCAGGCGTGACGCTTGGCATTCAGGCCAAAGAGTTCAATCTTGGTTTCATCAGACCAGAGAATCTTGTTTCTCATGGTCTGAGAGCCCTTTAGGTGCCTTTTGGCAAACGCCAAGCGGGCTGTCGTGCCTTTTACTGAGGAGTGGCTTCCGTCTGGCCACTCTACCATAAAGGCCTGATTGGTGGAGTGCTGCAGAAATGGTTGTTCTTCTGGAAGGTTCTCCCATCTCCACAGAAGAACTCTGGAGCTCTGTCAGAGTGACCATCAGGTTCTTGGTCACCTCCCTGACCAAAGGCCCTTCTCCCCCGATTGCTCAGTTTGGCCGGGAGGCCAGCTCAAGGAAGAGGCTTGGTGGTTCCAAACTTCTTACATTTAAGAATGATGGAGGCCACTGTGTCCTTCGGGACGTTCAATGCTGCAGAAATGTTTTGGTACCCTTCCCCAGATCTGTGCCTCGACACAATCCTGTCTCAGAGCTCTACGGATAATTCCTTCAACCTCATGGCTTGGTTTTTGCTCTGACATGCACTGTCAACTGTGGGACCTTATATAGACAGGTGTGTGCCTTTCCAAATCATGTCCAATCAATTTAATTTACCACAGGTGGACTCCAATCAAATTGTAGAAACATCTCAAGGATGATCAATGTAAACAGGATGCATCCAAGCTCAATTTCGAGTCTCATAGCAAAGGGTCTGAATACTTATGTAAATAAAGTATTTATGTTTTTAAAAACCTGTTTTCGCTTTGTCATTATGGGGTATTGTGTTTTAATTAATCAATTTTAGAATAAGGCTGTAACGTACCAAAATGTGGAAAATGGAAAGGGGTCTGAATACTTTCCGAATGCACTGTATATATTTTTAAAATATTTATACAATAATTTTTTTGTTTGGGGTCCCAACAAATGCTAACAAATTACTAGCAAATTCCCATAGCGGACACTAGCTAAATGCTAACAAGCACAAGCAAAAATAAACAAATTGCAAGGACAGACAACCCAGCTCATAAAGTTATACAAATATCTTGAAAGGCTACTCACAGTTTGCTGCATGCACAAAACAAATATTAAACAGCAGGGATGTTGATCCAGGAGGGGATTGATTGTCTCTGCTATAATGAAGAAGCTTAATATTGCCATCTAGCCACTTAGCTAGTAAGTTAGTAAACCAAATGCATAGCTGGAGCCCTGAGCTGGACATAATTTATTTGGCACATCTAGTTATAAGCAGTGGCATAGCACACACCCCACATCCCCCACAAGGCGGTGGGCTTAGAGCTTTTGCAGGCCCCTTTAGGGGGACGGTATTGAAAATCATACCGTCTGTATTTCAAAATACCCCGGTATACGGTATATCGCCCAAGACTACTCTCTGCCATGTTTTACTACTCATGGTTACTCTGTCACCCAAATCCTCAAACCATCCTATGATTAATGTGTTCTTGGCAACCAAGGACACATCAGCACATTTCACAATGGTCTGTTAAAATAACAGCATGCCCGAGAAAGAGGCCCAGCACGTCCAGCTCCCATTCGCCTCATCCTTCTCAAAATATTGGTTGTCTTGGTTGTGTTTAAAAATGTCCTCTTGGCAAAGAGAGTTCTTTCACACCCCTCTGGAGAAGATGGAAACCTTTCCTCTAATTTCAAACACTTCTGTTCTGGAGTCACTGACTGTCCATCGTTTGTTGTATTACTCTCTGGTTCAACACTTTCATCTTGACAATAATTTAAACAGCAGTATACGACATTACCGTAAACAATACCTTTTAAAGTGGCTCAATGCAACTACTCTAGTATGAACCTTTCTCATGGCTTCTTGTTACACAGACACAACACAAAAGGGTCAATTGTCTACAGTTGCTAAACATGAGTCGATTTTGTGAACCAGTGATCTTTAGTTATCTTTCTAGCTGCAGTTGGACGCACAGCCAAAATAGCCTAGAAGCCATAGACCAGAAGTATTAACCTGTAAACAGAGCACACCTCCAGGAGTTAGTAGTTACAGCATACAAACACCACTCAAATATTTATGAGCAATAAACAAACAAGAAACTGGAGAGGTCTCCTGACATAGCAGAGATGGCAGGTAAAACATACTCACATTATTAATATAAAGCTGGGTAAAGCAGCCTAGTCCCATAGTAAATGAGTGAACAATCTCAAGTTTCAGCCTTCCCATCAATTATTATTAACTCGGCACCCAGAACCAAATCAGCTGAGGCTGTCACAAGAGACTACGCCAAACCACATGTGATACACTTTCCAACACTCAATAAAAGTATTGATTACTTCTAAAACAGAACATGATTGCACTTTTGGTCCATTATATCTTCTAGGCAGTGAAATAAAACAGGTCTCACAGCTGGAGATTGCATGTGGCTGGCTAACACATATACAACTTATGTGTGACCATCTGGTTGTCTGGGAACCCTAACAACAAACTATGAACACTTCAACATCAGTAACATCGTCCACACAACTTAATAGTAATAAAGGCAAAGAAGCTACATTCAATAAGAAAAAAACTATAGAGAAACTAAAAAGGAGTAGTTCACTATTTTACAACCTGATGTTAGATATATATTTCCTCACCCTGAAAGTAGTCTATGAGCCAGGAGAAACTGCAATCCATGGTTCAGTTTTCTTTAAACAGCCATTAGAAAACATCAGCTAACTTTAGCCACTGCTAGCTAAAAATCTATGGAAGTGATGGGGGCATGTGAGCATGTTACAAAAAATAATGTCCAGATTGCCTGAAATCAGTTCAAATCAACTCCATATTTG